TTAGTAAATGAAAATTTGTACAGCTATACACATTAGCATCACAATAATACTGCTTTTGAACAAAATAGCTGAGCTCGGCTCCTCACACTCGTCACTCTGCTCAACTTGTATAAAATAGGGTTGGTACAATTCCTCCCTCATTCTCATGTAGGTGTTGATGGCAGTATTTCCTGCCTCAGGCATAGTCCTTGTACGACTGAGCTTCCATACTCCGACTGTAAAAGATATTATAATTTTAGTATAAAAGTATCATTTCGTGCAATCATGATTACTGGCACATTCTTGAAAAGATCACATCCATCATGGAAATTAGTTAATGAGGAAAAAAAAATGATGCGAAATCTCGAGGAACTATTCGGAGAATTGTACAGTAGTTTGTTACTCTTATCTTAATGTCCTTCAAACCACATTTCGATCACGGCAGCCAATCACAACGTAGACAGGATTATAGTGTCCGAGTGTATGCCCACGCATAAGAGCTGCTACCGAGAATTTCTTGACAGAAAAAGCCAATAACTGATTTAGATCCGACCCGCGATTCGCGCCAGGGAACCCATGATTACCGCAACCGCTAGGCCTGGGTCGTACGTTTTCTGAGAATCGTATCTATAGATATGAGATTTTGAATCTCAATATCTGATATCAAAACTATATATTTCAATATCTAGATATTCTGCGTACTCGTTTATATTTCCTACTCCGATACGCTGTTGAAAACAACTTAAAAAAAAAGGAAGGTCTTTATTCCACCCGTATGTATGTACATATTATGTATGTTTGCGATTTTTTGAATTCTAAAATAAAAACAATTAACCAATTTTGATTATATTTTATTACGGTACGCAAATATCAGATTTTGTAATACATAGTTTTCGAAAGAATCAGTATAATACCTATATCGCTCGCGCTCTGTCGCACACGGTGAATTTAGCCACCGACCAATGCGAAGCGATATAGGCATAACGATGGTACGCAAATATCAAATTTTGTAATACATAGTTTTCGAACGAACCAGTAAACCGTTTTTAGATATTGTACCAATATATAGATTTCGAATCAGTATACGGTTTGCATCGCCCACCTCTAGCAACCGCATTTACGGCAACTAGACCAACGAGATAGTCAGTTGTTATTATCTTAATAAAAGTTTAATGTATGAAAAATCATCTGTGGACCATAATTAATTCTTAAAAGGCATGGTAACATGACAAATTGATTAATATATTATGGTTGTAAATTTTATTTGTATTATTATATTGTGTTATCTAGGTAAAACCATCTCCTTAACGTTACACATTTTTTCAACGTGGCAGAGTCATGCTGCAGCTATATTAGTAGTATAGTTGTAGCACGAATGGGTCGGCTCGACCAGGGAAGTACCACGCTCTCACACAATACCAGCGTAAAATAGCAGCTTAACACTGCTGTGTTTCGTATGGTGATTGTAGAGAACTGGAGACCCTTTTTACTGGAAACGAGGCATTCCATCTTTAGTCCTCACGGGTAACAACGCCATTTGCATTTTGATTCGCAAACGAGGATAGATGTAGATGTCTATGGGCCACAGCAACCTATCCTATAAAAAAATCACATGAAATATCCAGGCCAATAACAGTGAAAGGTTCAAGACATCAGTTACTATGATCACCAATTTGCCTGCCAAGCGTGGCAATTATGGCAATTATCACCTTTGAGAGGCAATGTATGGGGAGGCATATGTCAGTGGGATTTTGGATTGGCTGTAGTGATGTTGATTATAATGAAACAATAGTAATATAAAGAGTTTAACTTACCAGATCTTTGGAACTGATTTATGTTGACGCAGCTGTACGCTAAAGAATACGATACGTAGTCAGTCGTCAGTACGTATAGTGTGGTGGTGACCGTTGCTTCGGGATCTGGAATTTTGCCAGTATAATAAGAAAATGTATAGAGTTTTTCATTAAGCGCGCTCGAACTTTGAAATAAAAAAAAAACCTGTGTAAGTGATATTGCCACAATTTTTATTATATTTTAAAGGACTGGAAAATATGTCCGTCGCGACTCCAGGGGTTGTGTATTCTGGTGGACCAATTTTGGACATCTTCGCATAAATGGGCCTCAATTTCATGAAGAACACGAGTTATGTTGGTCTTCAGGGCGTCAATTGTCTGTGGTTTATTAACTTACGTTTATTTTTATATATTTTTGGACTTTTTTATATATATATTATTGACCAACGATATATTTCAATTTATAAAATTAATTATTGAAATTCATTTACATAACATAATATACAATATTTTATTATATACAATATTAAAAACCTATAATAAAAAAAAACTAAAACTAGTAACTTAATTATTATACAGTCCTACTCCCCGCGGTATCGTGCCAAGAACGCTGGCTGCGTTTCCCCGCTGAATGGCTATACTTAGACTTTGAGCGAGAAAAGAACCAGCCCGCTTATCACCAGCAGCAACGACCAGTCGCGGATGAAGTTCCTTTAGGAACTTTACCGTACGTAGCAAATGGCACAAATATGTAGTCAGTTATAGATACAAGAGCCCTTCGGATGATATCGTTCAAAGAACCGTGCCGTTATTGAAATGTATTTCATAAGCACATCCAGGCGGATCGTGCGTGTATCTGTGGTTATGACAATCATCAGCGTTGTAGGTTACCCTGCAGCATTAGCTGAGTCATAACCCTCTCACTGGCTCGATACACACCCCATCACTTATAATTTTAATCTACCATACTTTTAACTGTTTTATTTTTATTTTTGTGATGTTGTGTACAGTTCCAGTATAATAAATGCCCTTCATTCTTTCTTTCTTTCTAGATATAATCACTGAAGATTTATTCTTAAATCAATAAGATATAATTCGATAAAATGAACATACCGTCACTTAACCTATCGGGCAAGGTCACAAGTAGCTTAGCACTGCCGTCAGTTGAGTTGATTGTAGCAGTGCCCTCGATGGTATCAAGTTCACCATCTATAACCTCCCAGTTGAGGAGAGTAACAACACCCGTAGTTTCATCTAAGGTGTAGCGAGCTCCAGTGCAGGAACCAGTCTCGTGGAATTGCGGATATCGCTCTATTTGGTACCACGTACCAGTATACTGTTGAGGATATTAATTATTTATAATTTAAATTTAAAAATTTTGTGGAAACGACTTCAATATAAATTATTAAGAATAACTCAAAAGTATTGGCCAGACCTTGATCAAATTTATATGGGACCACATGTAAAGCACCAGCTTTCAAATAAAAAAGAATCATCGAAATTGGCTCCCCCAGTAAAAAGTTATGAGATAACACACATAAAAAACATACAGTCGAGTTGAATACCGGCTCCTTTTTGAAGTCGGTAGAAAATAGTGTTTAAAGTTAAAAATAAATTGTGTACAAACGTGAATTATATTTGTAGCTCATATACGTCTCACGGCTGGGCACAGGCCTCCTCTGACTTCTGAGAGGGTTTTAGGGCAAAAAAGTGTCCACCGCGCTGCCCCAGTGCATGTTGGTGCACTTCAGATGTTTTGGAAATATCTTTTTTATTTTTTTTATTTCTCAGACAAGGCACCTTCAATTCGCGTGGTGTTGCAATTATTCATGAGCGGTGGTAGTTACTTAACATCAGGTGCACTGCATGCTCGTATGCCCCCTCTTCTATAAAAACATGCAGGTTTCCTTCACCGCGGAGTACGTGGTAAATCAGCATTTTAATTTGCATCTAACAATTTCACTTGTGCCGGCGTGGATTGAACCCGGGTTGCTCGCGTGCTATAAATTTACAGGGAGCGGTAAGCCTTTCATCTACCACGGCACATGTTGTTAAAACACATGATAAACTAAACGCTTTCAAAGACAAATTATGGAATATTTCAAACATAAATTATTTTGCATTTTCATCGGTACAACATCGGTAATGTATTTTATTATGCTACCACTATACTTCACAATGTTGTTGTTTCAGTTTTGTTTACAATTTACACGTGTAACAATATCAATATTGTCAAAATCAATAGTTTGTTCTTTATTTGATGAAGAGGCAAAGTAGCATCGACAGTACGCACCTGGGTGGCATCGAAGTTTTGCACGACGGGTATGTCCATGGCGCACTGACCAGGTAGAATTATCTGTCGTCCAGTCTGCTCCGGATAATGGAAGCAAGCGCTATCGCTCTGGTCTACCGTTTGATAGAACTGAGGATATAGGACGCGGTTGCTTGTGATAATAGGCGCCATGGCGTTTTGAGCTGCCTGTGTCAGTTGACGGGACTTGCTGTGTTTGGCACTCCATACTAAAATAATATAATTATTAGTGCAAACTCTTGACCACAGAATTAATGCATTAACTATAATAAAAAAAAGACTAATATATAGTAAGCTAAGAATACGTACCACGTCTGTATTCTTCGTTGATATTTTCGCACGAATACAGAAGAGAGTAGGTTTCATAGTCAGTTGCAAGTACCCAGATATCTGCAGACAAAAAGCGGTTTTAGTGCTTGGAATTTTTTATAAATAAGTTGCTGTAGTGACCCAGTTTTATGGCTCATAATAGTTCCGTTAGTAGTGACGCTAACACAGGCGATGAACTGATTTGGATATAGTGACAAAATCGGCTTAAAAATTATTAAAGCTTTTGAACATATTTGGGTCCAAAAACAGCAGGGACTTTGACTAATACGCTACTAATATTAGTATACTGCAACAGTCTAGATGTCTTTTGTCAATAGAATGCTATTTAAGTACTTACCGATAACGCGGCCGTTGCTCAAAGTCTTTCTTAATCTGCCGTTATTGGTCACAGTGAGTGTACTAGTGTTGACTTGGGCCGTTACGTCGAAGATATTGGTGTCGATGACCTGGTACTGGTTATTAGATTGACGGAATTCCGAGCTGATGCAATGACCAAGGTTTTCGTCTGATGGATAACGTTCTATCTCGTGCCACCAACCCAAATACTGAAAATTAAAAATATTCACTATCAGTGCACACCCTACGTCAGTTAAAATACAGATGATAAAATATATTTCAGAACTTGAGCAATATTTCTCGAAGACGGTGGATGATTCACCGTAATGAAGTAGAAGTATTAGTTTACGACGAAGAAGTGGAAGATGTATTTATTACTGTATCAAGTTAGTCCCGTGGGTGTCACAAGCGGCAACTATGGAACAGAAAATAATGAAATCACAGCCTGCGATATGCAAGATATAATATACTCATACCAGAGATGGAGAGCAGCATCAAAAGAGCATGGTTAGTATTACGCTACGTTAGTCCGGTTGCCAAACGATACGGTTAAGTTAGTCACAGACACAGAAATATTTAATGGAAATATAAAGTATTGGCATCATCATAATACCAGTCTTTCCTCAATGCTGAAGATCGTAATCACTATGCTATTGCAGATAAAAGTACAGTGCTCCCCAATGGGCTCTGTTATTCGCGATGCGCACTTCTTGTTGTAGTCGCATAATAATTATATGAGTAATTCGATCACTCCATTTGACTGGTGGTCTGTACCTAGCGCTTTTGGATGGCTATTATACCCTTCATTATTGGTATTCCAAGCTATCTGGTCATTTTAAGACATGATTGAAGAATTAAAGAATACAAAGCTGAGACTGTCAAGACACAGGTCTTAAGCTCCTTAAGTATGAACACGTTGGTTTGCATATCTGTCCAAGGTATGCGAAGTACATGCCAGTGCCACTTTCCAAACGCCTCTATCCTTCTTTGCATGTTTGCCTTTTTGTCCAAGATACCGTATCATAAGAAAAAACTCTCATGTATTGTTTTATTGTTACTTATACATACCCTCTGAATATCAAAACCTTGGACACCTGAAATGTCTTCACATTGTCCTCTAAACACTGGTGCTTGGTCAGGGATAACTTCAGGTACGTAGAAGCAGGTTTCGTCAGATTGGTCACTGGTTATGTAATATTCTTCTAGTAGACCTCGTGTATTACTTATGATGTTGTTCATTATGTTATTTGCCTGGTTGCTGAGGGTCCGAGTTCTGCTAAGCTTCCAGCTGCTTACTGTAAGATAAAAATTATTAATTACAGTGGACTCGAAAAATCTTTTAAAATTTGCCAATAATTACTAAATTAAATAGTATTATGAATCAGATATAAAAAATACAACAGCATTTAATACCTTGTCTATTTCCATCAGGGAGGTTTCGGCAACTATACACCAAGGAGTAGCTAATGTAGTCGGTTTCGAGAATGTAATAGTTGGCAACATTAACGACTGAAACAAAAATACTTTGCTGATTTACTTGTGTCTGCATATTTTCAATCACTTTGCCTATACATCGACTGCAGTTATATAAAAATTCTCGGTCTCTGTTTGAATACTTACGTGAATTTAATAAAATCAGTAGAGACATTAATGTAGTGAGAGAGATAAATGAGATTAATGTAATAACAGTAATATAAATTCTCCACGAGGATGTTTAGTTTTTAATATTCAAAATTATTCAATAAATGTATATCAAGTAAATTTATAATTACATTGAAAAAAAAGTGAAATAAAATAATAATTAATTGTAATAACGAACTCTTATTAGAAACGTGTTGTTAATATGCATATGAAGATAAACTCACTGCTATTAAATTTATATTTAATATTATAGTCATACTAATATAATGTGATACTCGCATTAGTTTATAATTGTTTTTAATTTAATAAGATATTTTATTATATTAAAAGAAGTTTAATACCGACCTCCATTGGCTAATACAAATGTTACATTCAATATTCCACTTCCATCATTTGAAGCTACAAAGGCTGATCCGATCATTGTATCCAAGGTGTTATTGATAACTTCTGTATTGACAACTTCAACGCTACCGTTGACGAGATTGTATTGCGCTCGACTACATTCTCCAAATTGGTATAGTTGAGGATAGCGAGCGATTTCGATCCATCTTCCGAGATACTATACATTCAGAAAAAAAATCTATATTAAAATTAAATCATAGATAAGTAATAATATGTGGCTGAATGTAAATATTTCATAGCATCTTTACATGAATTACTAAAATAAAACCAAAATAAAATATAATCAAATTTTTAGCTTGATAAAATCTCTGGCTGTCAGTGGCGTAATAGAATCCCTCAAAATCATGCTATCGAATCTTATAGATGTTGTAAGAGTCTATTATGTTGAATGCTATAACCATTTCGGTGCAGCGTGAAATATCTAGTATAGCGTTCGCCAAAATAAACATCTAATCATGATAACTACACTATTTACTAGATAGTAGGACTCTTTTTGCCTAATAGTCCATCCGGGTAGAAACCATCCTTTTCCTTAATTCTACCACCAAACAGCAGTGCGTGCACTGGTGTGTTCCCTGGTGTGCTCCGGTCTCTAGGGGATAAAGAGCTAGTATTATTACGGGTTTTGAGGCATTCATAGTCCTTGAAGTTGAAAACGCATCTATAACCTTCTTTGTTTGGAGTTGATTGCATGTGTCTATAGGCTGCAGTAACCATTCAATATCAAGTAGACCTCGTTTGTCACTTTAATATTATAAAAAAAATCAACTGTGAGACATACCTATGTGCAACAGCGGGCTGCACGGCTAGCATGGGCAGGGGACAAAATTTTTATATCCCGATTATATCCACTGACAAGAGATAAAATTATCTTGTCCCTATGTCAAAGCACGGCAACGGGGAGAAGTATATCCCCGTTTGACATAACGAGTAGACATATATACCCCGTCCGTAGGATAGAGCCAAATGAAAGATAAAAAATTATACTATTTTGACATTTGAAAGCGATAATTCTATCCTTGTTCATTGGACGTAGACGTTTATATTCATACAAAAAATCTATCTAAGTCTAAGTCTATCTCCCATTTTATCAACTGTGTATGTTAGATCCACCGGTATGCCTATGCTCGAGGGGTGGATAAAACTAAGCGAGAGTTAAACATTTTCTCCTTTCCCCGTGGATAAAATTGTATCCTGCCCATGATAGCCCTGCTGGTAAATTTAGAAAAATTGATCGAATAATAAATTTTACTTACAGCAGACGCATCGAAGTTAGCTTTAGCACGAATAGTCTCATCACATTTTCCAGGCAACGTAATCATTGATGGAAGCGAATCAAATACGGGATAGTAAAAGCAAGCGTCACTGCTTTGATCGCTATTGTCATAGTAGCCATCAAAAAGATCAGTTGTATTTGTAACAACTTCATTAATGATATTGTTAGCCAATTGCGAAAGTCCTGACTGTGATCGACTTAGTTTCCAACTGTATACTAAAAGATGGAATAACGATTATAATTTAAGAAATATGTAAACTTGGCTGATCTGATAAATTTGATGAAATAATACCAACTTTGCTTCCTTTGATTGCCAAGGTTTCGGCAGCTGAACATCAATGCGTAGTTTGTGTAATCGGTGGCCAGGACGTAGATAGTTGCATCAATAGAAACTGAAATATCAATATTCAGTTAGTTATTAAACCAGATAAAATTTTTCATCAACTAGTTTCAGTATCACGTCACAAATTATAATCCGCATTTTTGAGTTTTTTTATTAACGTATAAGTTATTAATATCCCGGAAACGATTCTAATGATTTGAATGAAATTTTGTATTTAAATAATCTTTGATGTATTAAGTTTATCTAAATAGGATAGTCCTTATACAGCTGTAGATATAATCCTTGAGAATTTTTTTTTAACTCCAAGCAAAACTCGGTCAACTATACTTTACAAAAAGTCAGGTAATTAAAACATTATGAAATGAATTTTTAATTTATTAAAAATGATCTCTGGATAAAAAATATTCGTGTTAAGCTAAACACACCGATAACGCTTCTTATGCCTTATCTCGATTAGAATTTATTATGGAGACAACGTCAACTTAAATTGAAAATCAAATCGAATTCGAAATCAATTTCGGTTGTGAGTCTTCTGGTCTATAGAATTATTTAATTAATTACAAATAAACGTTTACCTCCAGCTCCGGTGCTCAGCTTGGCATTTAGAATACCTCTACCATTAGCAGAGACTGTTGCAGTTCCAGTAAGAGTGGTCAGTCTTTCGTTGTTTACAATAGTATTTGAAATATCGTAACCATTCTGGCCGCGGATTGTGAACTGATTAGCAGCACATTGTCCGGTTTGTAGTTCTGATGGGAATCGGGCAGTTTCATACCATGTGCCTGCAAACTGTAAAGAAACATTTTCATATTGCTACCTTTGTTTGTCTTAAGTTTTAACAGATCTTCATCCAGTGAACGCAAATCAGATATGGAAGTATTCCTAGCTCCCAAAAATCACCCAACGCAAATTAAGTTATCGGAGGCGTGGCTTACCAATTGTGCTGCGAACGAGTTTAAGTACAATTACTATCATTGTGCTGATTAATTTACATTGCACCTAATTACTTATAACAACGTCCCTGACAACTAGTGACGAGCACAATGGCGTCATGTAATAAACGTATTAAGTGACGAGTAGTAAGATCTAAACTGTTCGAAAAATAAGGTCAACTTTTAACTGTGCATTGTGAGACGTAATAAAATATAATAAACTTGTTATACTGTCAACAAGCGGTTTGCCAACCGCAGTTTTTTATTTTTCGTCGTTATTAGGAAGGTGATGCTGCCCATATCCTGCTTTGTTTCACTCTGTCGCCTCTTACGACACCTACGGGATGATATGGGCTAGTGCATATTCTTACACCGTCACTACATGGTATGGTATTTATCAACTTCTTATGAAATTATTATTGTGTCGACTATAAAATTGTGCTGTCACAAACATGAAAGCCTTAATCTGTATAAAAAAATATAAAATACATTATAGTATCTAATACAATATTTAAGACAGCATCTAAGACAGATTTATGAGGACATAAAATTGAAGCTATAAGAAAATACACTTTTTTATAGTAGAGGTGGCAAACAATGCTCGCATGGTCGCTCGTTCGGCACAACTGCAACACCAGGAGCATTGCAGGTGCATAGCTGGCTTTTAAAAAAGGAAACTCACTTCTTGAATGAATGTATTGTATGTATATAAGATAGCCAGAGTTGTATTATTGATAAATTTTGACTTACTGCACGAGTATTAAAGCGGGTTACAGCCGCTTGCTCTTCACAAACACCATTAAGAATGACAGGGCCGCCATTATTATTCGGATAGTAGAAACAGTCTTCTTCAGTGTGTCCGCGTTCATTGTAATATTGCTGGCGAAGTACTGGGATGGTAGACATGACGTTGTTGATAGCCTGATTTGCTGCTTGGGTCAGGCTTCGTTGTCTACTGAGTTTCCAGCTTGTTACTACCAAAAAAATATCGTTTTGTTTAAAAACTGGGTACAGTTTGAACGCTAACCAAAATAATTTTTAGACACCAATTCCCAATCCCAAGGAATGAATTTACTCTAAATAAATTAAATTATAATAAAACAAGGTTCCCATAACATAATATAATATTCAGTCTCAAAATAAATATGCGTAAATCGTAAAATGTGCGTTCTAAAAACAAAATCTTTTACTACCCAAATCTAAAAAATGCTCACCGAATTTTGTTTTACTAAAATACAATACCATCAGAAATTAAACAAAATTTTTGTGTTATTTGTGCTTACATGATGTTTTTAAATTATAACGTTTTTTTTTCGCTACCATAACCATGTTGACCATACAAAATTCACATCTTAGTGAACATGTTGTGCGTCAAGTGTTTGGTGAACCGATTTCGATGATTCTTTTTTTATTTGAAAGCTGGTGCTTCACATGTGATCCTATATAAATTTGATCAAGGTCTGACTATTAGTTTCTGAGTTCTTCTTAATAACTTATATTGAAATTGGTTGCACAAAATTTTTAATTTTAAATAATTTTATACCAATAATACAATATTGAATAAAACTACCCTTACGGATTTTATCGCGTTTAATTAAGTTATTTTATATTCCCGACGTTTCGGTTGCTTTCCAGTAAGTAGATCGGACCAAAATTAATAATTAAAAAGCTGAAGGTACTCCGGGTTAACTTTGACATCGGGACGTCAATCACCTCAGTCCCCCGTGACCACGGTTGCTGGAAAGCAACCAAAACGTCGGGAATATAAAATAACTTAATTAAACGCGATAAAATCCGTAAGGGTAGTTTTATTCAATGTGTAGTGTTCGGGTAAATATAAGAAATCAATAATACAATATTTGGTATAAAGAAAATTATAAGAATGATAATTATTTTATGTTGACTCATTTAGAGTTACTAAATTTTAAAGTCATAAAATGAAATATTGTTTAGTAATGAAATAAAATATTTGGTTTTAAATTAATTTAAACTAATTTTATTGTACAAAAATACAAAAAAAAAACTGAAGTTGTAAAATATTTTGTCAACACAATTTGGTGAGCATTTATCCGATTACATTTTAATAAAGAGTTATTATACCATTTTTATATTTTTTTTGTAATTAAGGCAATAAAAAACAATACGTTTTACCTTTGTAAATTAAACATGTAGAAAGGAGAACGTGTCAAACTTACCTCTACGACTTTCATCGTTGACATTAGAGCAGGAGTAAACCAAAGCGTAGCTGGAGTAATCAGTAGCCAAAACCCAGTAAGGAGTGCTGATGGTGGCTAAAACGAAAAAAATAACATTGGCAAATCCAAAAGAGCTCATCTCTATGCCTCAAATTAATAGCGTATCTACTCGGTTCGTTTGAACGTTCATCGACTTTCGATGATATCGTGCAAACATGAAATGAACAAAGATTTCATTAATGATTTTTAATAGGCAACATCCAAAAATAATAATAATTATTACTATTGTGTTTATTGTATATTAATGTATATTAATAATAATAATAATTTCTTATACGTAGTAGAGCCACGTTGCAGCTATATTATACTTGAAGCACGATTGGGTCGGATGGACCGGGGTAGGACCACGCTCTCACGGAATACCGGCGTAGAACAGCAGTTAAACACTGCTTGTGTTTGGTATGGTGAGAGTAAAGCACCGGAGACCCTTTTTACTGGAAACGAGGCATTCCATATTAGTCCTCAGGGGTGACAACGCATCTGCATTTTGATCCTTAATCGAGGATAAATCTAGATGTCTATGGCCCACTGCATCCACTTACCATCATGTGGACGGCGAGCTAGCTTGTCACCCTTATTCTATAAAAAAAATTAGAAACCTTTGGTATGATAGCTTAGCTGAATGACTGCTTCAGTCATTTCTGATCATGTTAATACTGGTACTCAGCGTGTGTTATATATCTAAATTAGCAAGCAGACTTAATTCTGCAGCATATGCTGTAAGAAATATTAGAAGTCTCACAGATGTTGAGACAGCTAGATTAGTGTATTTTATTTACTTTCATAGCGTAATGTCTTATGGAATTTTGCTATGGGGTAATGCGGCTGATATTGAAGCTATATTTGTTTTGCAAAAGAGAGCTGTACGGGCGATTTATAACCTAATTTGTAAAGAGTCCCTCAGAGAAAAATTTAAAGAAATAAACATATTAACTTTGGCATCGCAATATATTTATGAGAATGTAATGTATGTGCATAAAAACATAAATAGCTTTAATAAGAATAAGGATGTGCATACTTTAAATACTAGGAACAAACATAAGCTTGTAATGCCAGTTACTAGACTTCACAGAATCAGTAATTCATTTATGGGGCAATGTATACGCTTTTACAACAAAATCCCAGAACATATTCAAAGTTTGTCAATAAACAAGTTTAAAAGTTTTATTAAAGAAAAACTGTACAAAAAGGGTTATTATAATATCAAGGAATACATGAATGAAAATAACCCCTGGGAATAGGGCGATCGCCACCATGCTGGTTCTATGAAAAATCATTTAAAAATTGTATAAACAAAATTGTTGTTAAGTGAAATTATGTTTAAAAAAAAGTCCCGCTGGGTTTCTTGCTGGTTCTTCCCAGGACTGAGGTATTTTTCGAACCAGTGGTAAATAAAAAATGACTTTCAATAAGTATTATGTAATAATCAATATTGAATAAAAAAATTATTCTATTCTATTCTATTCTGTCACTACGCTAAAAGAAGAAACACATTTTGTTTATTTGTTGGAAAAAAGGGAAGTTTGTTTATTTATGAACTTTTTTTATATATTACATTGTTTAAGTAGTCTAAACCCATCTTCGCATTATTGGATTTCTAATGAAACCAGTTTGGGGCACATCGGTTGGATGGTTTCAAACTTCATAACTATTTGTGTGTGTGTGTTTTATATAGATAGATTAACGGACGGAATATTAATCGTATTGTTCCAGATTTACATAAAATTAGCTCAATCTAAGAATAAATTAATTATAGAAATCAAAATTTCTAGTCAGTTAATATATGATTTAGAAAGATTTGTTAAGTTATATTAATTAAGTATATACACGATAGGAGGCATGATGACAGTTAAGCACACCCGAAGCTTTCGTAGTCGATGTGTACAAAGCTCAGAAAAGTAATACTCGCTCTAGAGCTTAGTTTCTGTTTTTCTAATTTTCTAATGCTATACGAGTGCAATGACGCTGAAAATGTTCACTACATCGTTCCAATGGTCATTGGCGAATATGGTAGTCTCTGTTACAATGTTAACAAAATAAACAATATTACAATGACATATTTAGTGAACGGATTCTCTTACATCGCTACAGATTAGTTATTAGTATTTAAAAACTATGTAATGGCAATATGTAACAAATATAAATAAACTATATAATATATAACATACCGTTAGTTCCCGCGATTGGGAAAGTGACAATGAGTTTGGCAGAGCCATCATTCGATGCAGGGACGGCAGTGGCCGTGATCGTATCTAACTGTTGGTTGATCACTTGTGTGTTAAATACGTCCACACCATTCGGGGTGAGGGTATAAGTGGCAGTAGCGCAGGTGCCATCTTGGAATTGTTGTGGATAGCTTTCGATGTCATACCATACTCCCATGTACTATAAAAAATTAATAATATATAAAGCTTCATTTAGGATATTATATATTGTATAATACGTCTCACTACTGAGCACAGACTGTTTACTAGCTGTACTAGTTGTTCTGTTTTCTGTTGCACTACTAATATCCACTAGAGATGGTAATTAAATCAAACCATAACAGGGTATGATCCGAACTGGTCTATTATTGTGTTCTATAATTTCAATGGCCTTATTATACACTGGTAACGAAACTATAGCACAATCTATTTCTATATCAACGCTATCTATCGAAGAAGAACTAAATTTTTTTAAATTACAAATATGGTTTCTTCATTAACAAAGACCTCTTCTAATATCTGACAGGATTATAAAGCAATTAGGCCATCATGCCATTGTTACATGTTTGTGAACTTCTAATCATCACCATCGTCATTATCATCGTCACATCATTATTTCTTACGTGGTAGAACCACACTTCAGCTATAATAAGGTTGTATGTAGCACGAATGGGTCTGTTAGACCTGATTTGGACCACGCTTTCACAAAATACAAGGGTAAAATAGCAGCTTCATGCTGCTGTGGTTCGTACAAAGAACCGGATACCCATTTACTGTAAACGACGTATTCCATCTTAGTCCTCATCAACAACACATCTTCATTTTGGTTCTTAATCGAGGATAAATGTAGATATCTATGGGCCAAAGCATCCACTTTCCATTAGGTGGACTGTGTGCTCGTTTGTCACTCTAATTCTATATAAAATAAAACCTTATCATCATCATCATTATCATCATCATCATCATTATAACCCATAACAAGTCTACAACATAGGCCTTCCCCAAGGAATGCCACAAAGTAATGGAATTTTGACTTTACAATATTACCCTTTCGAAATGGTTTTATGGTTAACTAGCTATTCCACCTTAGTTCTCAGGTCAGTTAGACAGTTAGACAACGCATCTGCATCTTGATGCATCGCAGCTTAGCCATGCGGCACACAATTCACTTACTAAAACACACATACACACACACACACACACACACACACACACACACACACACACACGCAAAGAAGTAAAAAGTAAAAAAAGAATAGTACCTGGCTGGCGTTAAAGTTTCTAACGACAGGAATGCTTTCGTCACACTGACCCGGGAACACAACCGAAGCGCCGGGTACCGGCGTGGGGTAGTAGAAGCAGCCGCTGTCGGAGTGGTCAATATTCCGGTAATAACGTTGATCAAGGACGTTAATATTATTTATAATGCGGTTTATATTCGTCACGGCTGTAGTGGACAATTGTCTTGTACGACTTAGCTTCCAGCTCCAAACTGAAATATTAAAGAAATGCATGGACGTTTTAGATTTTGCTATTTAAAAAAAATCATCGTCTGTATAGCATAGCATGTTTAATCTTCCAACTAGCGAATATCGTGTAGATTTAAAAGTACTTTCTGTCTTTATGTACATATATGTCACAGCCAACTAGGTTAATTAGCCTTTCCGTTAACAGCCTAGCTTTTTTACTAAACGGCGCCTAATGAAATGAATAGGTGACCATGTCATATAATGTCGCTGGTCTGTGCCTAATTATTTTTTTTTTTTTTTTTTTTTTGCGCCCGAAGCAATTGGAAAAGGGCTACCCCGAAGGGAGGCAGAAAATGCATTACGCATACCACGATGGCCGGTCCATCGTGGTTATGAGGGACTCACTACCTACAAGGGGGAACCTAAGTGATACCCTCTAAAAACTGCCTTTGGGGACTGGCAACCAGCTGTTGAAAGCTTCACATGCCGTATCGTAAAGCGACCCTCTTTTGGGAAAAGAGGGCGCAGGCGGCTATAAGCCGCTGAGGGAGTGCCTGGGAAGGCAAATTAATTATGAATAACTTAATTAGAGTTGGCCTGAGCCGCCAGGAGGCAGTTCAGGTCGTTTGAAAGTTTATTAGGCGGGTCCGAGAGGGAGTTCCTCGGCCTGCGGACGCTATAGCGGGAGGGGAGTGGGGCTGCATAATTAGCAGCCTCACGAATAAAATGATTGGAATGCGACTCTGAGGCTTTGAAGAAGTTCTCAGAGAGTTTTTTAAGGAATTGTTGAATTGTAGGGAGCTCTAGGTCCCGATGAAGGTCGGCATTGCGGACGTACCAAGGTGCGTTCGCAGCTCGACGACAGAAAAGGTTTTGAACTACTTGGAGTTCATTAATGATTTTAGGGTCAGCGTGGGCAAAAATGGAGCCCGCGTAGGACATGACTGGTCGTATACAGACCTTATAAAGGGTACGCTTGTTTCTGAGGGACATTTTACTGTGTCGGCCCAACATACTGTTGAGCCTATTCAGGTAAAAACGTGCGTGACGGGTTACTCTTTTGACGTGGGGCCTGAAAGTTAGCCCTGTGTCTAGAGTGACACCTAAATATTTGGCAGACGTATGCCAGGGGACAGGGGTCCCTAGCATACGTATTGGTGGAGTGTTTTTGAGACGGCGTCGTTTATAATCGAAGTGAACGGCGGAGCTCTTCTCCGGGTTCACATCGATGCGCCATTTTTTGAACCAAGCTCCTAGGTCATCAACTGACTTTTGGACCTTGTTCCGTATGAAAGGTAGCGAGATACCTTTGCAGTAGAGAGCAGTGTCGTCTGCGAAGAGGGAGAGCTGAACACCTTTCGGCGGAATGGGAATGTCGTTGGTGAACAGTATGTACAGCAGAGGAGCAAGAACTGAGCCCTGAGGGACACCAGCTTTGATGGGGCGCTGTGAAGATAGCGTGCCTTCGTGTCTAAAACGAAAGGTACGATGATTAAGATAAGAGGCCACGAGACGTACTAGACGATCGGGGAGACCTATTTTGTATAGTTTATAGATAAGGCCTGTATGCCAGACTCTATCGAAGGCTTTGGCGATGTCGAAAAAGACCGCGATAGTCTTATGACGACGGGGATAAAAACCGCTGAGGATATATTCCACAATACGGTGAACTTGTTGGGGGCAGGAGTGTTTCGCTCGGAAACCGAATTGATGGGGAATGATAAGAGGGTCACCGTCTGTGGGAAACAGATGGCGCCTCATGCGATTTTGAATGACTCTTTCAAAGAGCTTGCCCATGGCCTTGAGGAGGCTAATGGGACGATGACTGGAGGGGAGATTAAGAGGCTTGCCTGGCTTGGGAATACCAATCACAGTTGCCTCTTTCCACGTAGTGGGAAAGTAACTAAGGTTGAAGCAGGCATTGAAGATAATAGATAAAAGGGTTAGCACCTGCTCAGGAAAGTTTTTTAGGGCTTGGTTGGAGATGCCATCCGCGCCCGGAGCCTTTTTAGGCTTAAGTCCTTTGATGAGGGATGAAAGCTCATCATTGGACACAGAGATAGGTTCGGAGGCTGTAGGGGGCGAGTTCCGGCGGCGGACCTCATCCTCCACTGCCTGGACGTGTGAGGGGTCTACGGGTTGAGAGCTAGGAGAGCATTGAGCGGCAATGCTGTCTGCAAAGCACTCAGCCTTTTCCTCGTCCTCGAAGGCTACCGTACCGTCGGGACGGGAGAGAGGGGGAGTGTGGAAGATAGCGTCTATGCGGAGGGCTCTTGCCATCTGATAGTACGCTGTATGAGAGGGAGAGATATTCTCCATGAGCTTACTCTTTTTGAGGTCTCGAAATTCAGAGAGGCGGAAACGGAGTTCTCGTTGAAGACGATTGGCCGTGCGCCTATATTCGGGCGTGGGATATTTTGCTGCTCTCCGGAAAGCAGCTTTTTTGGCTTTTAATAGGTTGCTAATATGCAGGGGAAGCCCACTATTATTAGCAACCGGGACGACCCTTTCATTCTCCTTAAGGGAGGTTTTAATAAGGGTGGAGAGTGAATCGACCGCGGTGTCGATTTTTTCAGGACTGTCTAAGTCCGAAGATAGGGAGATGGGGGAGTCCTGTGAGTCCAGAGCTTTCGCTAGGGACTCCTTGAAGCCCTTCCAATTTGTGAAGGTTTTAGTAGAGGGTGTTGGGAGTGGTGGCTGATGGCCAAGAATGAGAGAGACCGGTCGGTGGTCGGATCCTAGATCGTCTAGTGTCTCGATTGCCCTAAGGTTGAGAGAAACTCCTTTGAGTAACGCAAAATCTAGTACATCGGGGGCATAGTCGGTGTTATCGGGAAAGTGAGTAACACCGAGAGGACTGTGGACGGTAATATCAAGAGACTGCGTGATATCGAGCAGTAACTTGCCACTACGGGTGGTAGTACGGCATGTCCATTCAGTATGCTTGGAGTTAAAATCTCCAAACATAATGACTGAATTGCCTAGAGATAAAATAGCCTCAAAATCTTTTTTGAGGGGAAGGGTTTTAGAAGGGATGTAACAGGAGGCTATGAAGATGGACTGATGTCCAGTCATAGCTAGCCTGCATACCGTGGCTTCCATGTTGGAAAGTTGCGGAGTAGAAATGGGAGAACAGTGAAGTGTCTTCTTGTAATAAATGGCCGTACCGCCGCCTCGGCGGTCGGGTCTATCATTACGAAGAAGAGAGAAGTTTTTGATGGAAAGGCCTTTAGTGTCCTTAGTATGGAGATTAGTTTCCTGTAGGAGGAGGAAATCGGTTTCACGATTTTGAAGAAAGAGCTTAAGCTCTGGGAGGTTATTTCGCAAACCGCGAATGTTAAAGGATACAAGCGATAAACCCTTAGGTTTGATACGACCGTGGGATTTTGGTAGAGCAAACTGCTCTGTCATTGTGAGTTAAGTTAATTAAGTTAACTTAACTTACAATGAGCACAAAAGATTATGATGCTCTGCAAGAGCGAGGAGACGATCCTGAGGGGACCTCGCAGCGCGCAATTTGCGTGCTAACACAGCGATTTCCTCAACGTTGATGTTCCTAATTGCGGAATACACCGTTTTTAGGTCATCAGCCATTGAGGGCTGTGATTGTTGTGGTTGAGGGGCGGAGGATGTCCGCGGTGGTACTGCCTTTTTGGGGCCCCAGGGAAAAACTGGGGGCTGCATAGGCTGAGAGAAGCCCGGAGGGGGCCGAATAGTGCCCTGAGGGGGCCTAGGAGGACCCTGAGAGGGTCGAGAGAAGCCCTGGGTGGGCTGAGAAAGGCCCTGACGGGGCATCCGTTGGTAAAGAGCCGGGAATGAGCGGTCATTGACCGGCGGTGGAGCTTGCCTACTGGGGCGAGGATGAGGTGCGCAAGGGCAGCCTCTGTAGTTAGCCGGGTGGCCCGTTTGTTTACACAGGACACACGCGGGTGGGGATTCGGCGTCTTTGGGCCGAGGACACTCTTTAGTGTTGTGGGGTTCAAGGCACTTAACGCACCTGGGTGGGGCGGAGCAGTTGGCCGCCGCATGACCATACAGCTGGCAGCGGTGGCACTGCGCCGGGAACCCGCGCCTATGTGGAGGCTCAACCCTCACTCTCGACAGGCCGCACACTGTGCGTACCTGCCGGAAGATGGCTTTCGCCTCCGGCACGTTGGTTAAAATTACTAGGGCAAGAGAGAACCTCTGGCCTGTTCTACTGTGCATTTTGTGCACGGCTTCTACGGGGAAACCTTGGGACTTAAGGTCCTCAAGGATTTCTTCGTTTGAAAATTCGAAGGGGACGCCGCGGATGACGGCCCTGACTTTGCGCTCTTCCGGAAGAGCGTATGTATGATAAGAAACTCGTTCGGCTGTGAATAGCCTGGTGAGTCGCCGGAAGTCGTCGATTGATTGGGGGATGATCTTAATAGCCTCCCCGAGGTTGATGGCGTGGTCATATTTTATGCCTGCGTTGTAGCAGGTTTTGGAGAGTTCTGTGAATTTAGCCTTGTCTCTTAGGAAGACAGGGGGCGGGACTTGCTTCTTGGCAAGGACTGGAGCACAGCGAGAGGCTGGCTTGGTCGGAGCGGGAATGTCTAGTGACATAAGTGGGGCTGAGGCAGCGGCGGGGGCTGCGGGGGCAGAGGCGGCAGCGGGAGCTGCGGAGGTTGAAGGAGCGGCAGGGGCCGCTGAGACAGGGAGGGTGCGGTTTTTAGCGGCGCGTTTACCGTTGCGCTTGGAGTTCACCGTGGTGAACGAAGAATCCCCGGTTCCGTCGGAGTCACAGGACTCCGATGAGCCGGTGCCAGAATTGGTGGCGGGCCTCTTCCGGGAGGCCGATGCAGAGGACTCGGAGCATGCGTACTCCATTTCTAATGGGGCGAAAGAGTTCTTTGTCTCTAGGTAGGCCGCAAGTACGGGCGGCGGTTGGAGTGCCTGACGGGCAGCGGGAGTAACATGGGCGGCGATGGCGGCAAGGGCCGTCTCATCGAGGTTTAGGCCCAGACCAAGAGTTTGGTTTAGGGCGGCGACGAGGGACTTGATTTGGGTAATTGTGGACATGTTGAGGGCAGTAGTTTTACGAAACGTATTTGATACGGAAGGGGCTAGTGGGTGCTGTTCTGAAAAGAACAGAGACGTTATGTACCTAAACAGTAAGGGCGGGATCACCGTTCTGAGAAGAACGGGACGTTCTTAATTCTAGGAGTAAGTGCCCCTGCTCTCAAAAGAGCAGGGCCTTGCTCTGAAAAGAGCAAGTAACTCCCTAGAAACAGTATATACACGTACACGTTATACAAATAAATAACGAAAACAAAATTAGAAATAGTTAACAAAAGAATTAACAATAAAAATAACAATAACAAGCAAGACCAACAGTCAAACCGCCCCGCCCGGAGACAGGGAGGTAATAACTGAAGTTAGCGTAAAATGACTCACCAAGGCGTCGACGCTGTAAGCGCGAGCAGGACAGCGGAGGCGCGAGAGCGAGAGAGCACTACCGTACGGGGACGGATGCGCGGACTACCTGGACACGACCGCTCGAGAGCGGTGCCACAGGCGGAATGTGAGTGCCTAATTATGCGCTATGAGCTGTTTTATATAAATGTACGCGGCTTTAGTGTAGCCTAAGGGCCACCCAGGCCGCACCTTGACCTACTGTCGCTGATATTACACGACAGGTGTATTAGACGCATCGGCTGAATATCATTCAGGCCTCTGGTATATATCGGTTGAACGGCGCCGTTTAGTAAAAAGGCTAGGCTGTTAACTGAAAGGCTTTTTAAGCTAGTTGGCTGCGACATAAATGTATATTAATTAGTGAAGGCTAAACTATGTACCCCTTTTTAAGCATATTGCGCACAGGTGAAATTTTGCATAGTTGAAGTTTGTATTGAGAAGGAGTGCAGAAAGCTAAGATTTATATGTACTATATGTGAAACAATACATTAAATAAAATGTGTTCATACTGCCTATGTCACACACATAATTGTCAAACAGTCACACGGAGTAGAAATCTTAGCAAAAAAAATTCAAAATGTTGCCAACAAATAATTAGTACTTAATTTGGTGTAATTCCCAGTGTTCCTTTATCAATAGTCTGTGGAGTATATATCAAGGCAAAAGAGTCTGTGTGCAATTAAAAGTGAAATACAGCTTACTTAAAAACTTTAAAGGTTTTATGAATTACGATCGCATTTTGACCACTAGGTGACCAGTACATACTATTTTGTGATTCTAAATACTCAAATATTTTACATGTGTGTTAATCGATCTAAGAGTTTCATTGATCGATGTTTTATGTTAAAAGTAAAAATACAAAAGGTTGATTTAAATACCTCTGCGTGTTTCGCTGTTTATATTCCGGCAGCTGTAAGTGAACGCATATGTGTCATAGTCGGTGTCCAAAATCCAATATTCCATTGGTTCGGGTTCTGAAAATTAAATTATGGAATTTAAAGTTAAAAGTTACAGCCTATATATGTCTCACTGCTTGGGCACCTCTGGTGCCTCCTCTCATTTCTGAGAGAGTTTTAGGGCAAACAAAAGTCCGCCGAGCTGCCCCAATGGGTGTTGGTGAACTTCGCATGTCTTCGACATATTTTTTTCTTATTTTGCAGTAATGAAGGTTTGTGTGTTTTCCTTCACCGCCGAGAGCGTGGTAAATCAGTACTTAAAATTTGCAATTGACAATTTCATTGGTGCCGGCGGGGATCGAATCCGGGTTGCTTGCGTAAGTACAGTGAAATTTACAGCGACTGCTTAGCCCCTGGCTCTGGCAGTTATGGAATTTGCTCGAAATATTTATTTATAATCACTAAATTATTAATAAGTATATATGAATAATAATAAAAATATGAACAATGTTGCTAGCAGAACTTTTCAATTATTACTAATAATTTAAGTTACTCTACACATTATTTTTCCTTTTTATGATTTTCTGAAATCATGTTTAAAATGCATTAAAATACCACATATTTTATTTTATTATCCAAAATTAAATGAAATATAACCGATAAAGATGGATGAAATACACACAAAAAAAAGTGTTATTTGGATGCGACTGAGGAGCAATGAAAAAAACTTGAGCGCTTGCAAAACTTATGTATTCGTTATATTTTGGGATAAAAAAGTATGACAACCTCTCCTCCTATCGCAAACAGCTCAAGTAGCTCCCAATCCGACTTCGCAGGAATACCCGAATCATATGCCTCTTCTTTAACATACTATACAATCTAACATCACCACCGTATCTACGTGATCGATTCCGCTTTGCTCATTTCCTCGATGATGTGTGCAGATTACATTTAAAAACCCTCCTAAATTTCCCTTCCTCCAGAACTAAGTCCTATTCTCACTCTTTTACAGTAAATGTAGTTAGGTTATGTTTTTATTTTTCATTGTAACATTACTTTGTGTGTACATAAATTGTTAAATAAATAATTAATAATTAAAATGACATGGCATCATTCATCAACAGCCGATCTGAATGGACTCTAGTGCTGCTTAAATTTCGAGTAACTCGAAGACTTCCTCGTTTTCCACTTATCACGTGTAACAACAGATTTAGTATTCTATGTATGTATCTAGGGCAGGCCACGTTGCAAGAGCTACAGATGGACGTTGGAGTGAGAGAGTCCTCCAATGGTACCCTCGCGAAGTACCACGGCCATGCGGTAGGCCCAGGCGCAGGTGGTGTGATGACATTGTGACCACAGCTGGCCACACCTGGATGAGACTCGCACAAGATAAACAAAAATGGCAAAAGATGGAGGAGGCCTTCACCCGCAAATGGGTACCCAAATAAATAAGAAAAAAAATATATCAATGATTAGTAAAAAAAAAAGTAATAATTTAAATATTATGTAATCATAACTAATCTGCTGTAAATTGATTTTCATAACATGTTATAATTAACCATAACATATTTTATTATTGTTATTATTACATATTTAATTAATGTTACTATTATTAATGGATTTAAATTGTTTAATAATGTAATCGCATTTCATTATTTTATACTTGATAATTATAAACTGTAGTTAATTGATATTTATTTTAAGGATATTATATAACGATTTATTGAGCATAATTTATAAAATTTATTCTAAATTCTGGCAAATTTTATATCTAAATGTTTGTTGAAGTTTTCTTTGAAGCATGATTGGTTTTGTAAATGTAAATGAAATTTTGTTAAATATTTAATTTTATGTATTTCTTTTTTGGGAAATAAAGGCTTTAATAAATAAATAAATAAATAAATAAATAAATAAATGTAATCTATAGTATTAAAATTTTTAAGATATAATTCGTGGTATTCAAAATATTTTTGTTAAAAACTTACCACCGGGGATTGTAACCAGTAATTTTCCTGAATTATCAGTTGTTGCTAGAACGGCTGATCCAGTTATTGTAAATAGCGCTTGGTTTACGACTTCGGTATTCACTACTTCAATGGTTCCATTGGGCCGTATTGTATTAGTGGCTTGGTTACATGACCCTGATTCCGAGTTTGATGAATAACTTTCGATTTGACGCCAACGACCGGCGTACTAAAAGTTATAAATTATAATTATTACAGCAAGCCTATAGAAAGTAGTGCTTAGAAAAATTAATACTTCTTTTAAAATTAAATATGAACCCATAAAATCTCTATGAGAGTAAGCGTTATTAAGATAATAAGTCAAGAATTATTTAGCTGAGAGTTACGAACATAATATAAAGACAGTATACATTAGGCAGTACAGTCAATCGTATATTTTAGATGCACGTTTTACTCGTATTACATTTTTAAGATGATTATGCAATACAATATATATTAGATAGTGAAACTATAAAATCGTTGATAAGGATATTTGTTCAATTTTTATTTTTAAATAAAAGTAATGGAATCAAACGTCCTGCTGACAGTAAAGATCAAATTACTTACTCTGGTTAGATTAAAGTTTTGAACTACTGAGATGTTCGGGTCGCACCGTCCAGGAAAATCAACTGGTTCACCGGGAGATACTTCGGGTAGATAAAAGCATGCATTGTCAGACTGGTCAATGTTTTCATAGTACATATTGTCTAACACAGTAATATTAGCAATGGCATTGTTGATCGCTGTATTAGCGGCCGCTGATAGCTGTTTTGTCCTACTAAGCTTCCAGCTGTAAACTATAAAAACATTATTATTAGTATAGTTATGTGCAAAGAAAAACCAAACGAAAATCCTTATTTTAATAGTAGATACTAACTAGCTCTGAAATCTCGGCCACGATTGACACAGCTGTACGCCAAAGCGTAGTTATTGTAATCTGTGCTTAGTATCCAAAATGGAATCTCAATTGCTGAAACAAATAAAGTATTGTAGATAGTATTGGAGGTAATTTAGACAGTATATTTGTTTTCTATCCAAAAAATAAATTTAAAATCACATTTTGGAAATATAACTTACCGTTTGCACCTTCTCTCAATGTTATCAGTAATTTTCCACTTGAATCAGTAGAGGTTCTGCGAACGGTACTGTTGGAAATTCTTAAAGTCTTATCAAGTACATTGAAAGATTGTAAATTTAGAGTATCACTTGTGGCAAGCGTATATTGGTGATTAACACATTGACCGGTTTGCTGATCTTTAGGATAAGCTTGAATTTCGTGCCACGTTCCTAGGAACTGAAATACAAAAATTAAACATTCTCAAAATAGTCAGAATGCTTTGTTTAATACCAATAATTTATACATCAATGCATAATAATAATCACCTGATTCATATTAAAATTGGGAACTGCTTGAATACTGTCTTCACATTGTCCGGGAAAAAGAACAGGTTCCCCTGGTTTGGGTTCGGGGAAGTAAAAGCAACCTTCAGGGCTTTGGTCCACTTGTTGATAATAACGGTCATCCAGTATTGGAATTGTCCTAATAACATTGTTTATAGCCGTAACCGCGTTAGATGTTAGCTGTTTTGTTCTACTAAGTTTCCAGCTGCCAACTGCAACAAATTGAATAAAATGCGGGTATTTTATATTTCATTCTGATTGTTCTGTTATATTCTATAATATATTATGTATAAACAATAATTTGATGAGTGATAGGGTTGTCACCAGACGATTACGGACCGGGACAACTTCTTCATTTAAGAAGTGATTATTAACATAACTAAAATTCACGTTAACCACTCCAATATAGCTAAAAAGCTCGACCTAAAATGTTAATCGCGCTATCAAAATTTTTGAACAGACCTAGTATACACTATATGATATTTAATATTGCATACACTATACTCCACTCTACCGTCCCGCTGGAGATTTCTCCTTCTCCACGAACGGATAGAAATAAAATATTAAAGATTTAACTAATAGACAATTTATATTTATTTAAGTTATTGTTACTTATTAAAATACACTATAAAATAGTGAATTCCAAACAAAATAGATTGAAAGGCCGATGTTCAATGGTTAAACTTAACTATTATAAGCTTTGCGTCCAATCTCGTAAATTTATTTTAAGTTTTTTTAAAAGTATTTTTTTTATTATAAGTTCCACAAATGAAAAAAAAATATATAAATGGTATTATTAAAAATGTTTCTTACCTTGTCTTGTTTCCTCATCCAGGTTTGTACACGAATAAACAAGCGCGTAAGATGTGTAATCTGTACTAAGCACCCAATAATCTGTTGATGTAGTCACTGAAAAAAAAAACATTTTTTGTGAACCATTAACCTTGGTAACCTAGTAAAAAGTCTTGAGTTGGCGCAATATCTCAGCCGCAGGTTTCAGACAACACATATTGCATGATCACCAAAACCCGAGATTATTCTGTTATTTATTTGTGCACACAAGTCTCGTCTATTTCCAATTCAAAGTGAATTATATATTTCTATTTGGATTTTTTGGTACGCGATGCTTAAGGTAATATTCAAAGAAATTTCACCGGTATACGCGGTAAGTTAAAGTTTTGAGTTGTTCCTTACGAGTTTCCACAGAACTGAGTGGCGGAACGCTGTATTAATTAGGCCTAACATTTACACATTGTTCAGAGCTAAACCAAAATTGTTACTATTGTATGAGTTGTTTTTGATGTAATAATGTAATTTTAATATTAGATATTACGAAACAATACAATATAATAAATCTATATAATAAAAATATTTTTTTTAATATATAGTAGAGTCATGCTGCAGCTATATTAGTAGTATAGTTGTTGCACGAATGGGTAGGCTCGACCGGGCTCGACCGGGCGTGGTCCTACGCTCTCACAATACCAGCGTCAAATAGTAGCTTAACACTGCTGTGTTTTGTGTGTAGTGAACCAGAGACCCTTTTTACTGGAAACGAGGCATTCCATCTTAGTCCTCACGGGTGACAATGTATCTGCATTTTGATTCTTTATTGAGGATAGGTGTAGATGTCTATGGGCCACAGCAGCCACTTACCATCAGGTGGTCTGTGTGCTCGTTTGTCACCCTATACTATAAAAAAAATTGCCGCATGTATTAAAAATCATCAATTCAGAATGGCTAGACCATTTTTATGTGATGTGAAATTTTTTGTGTGTGACCTGGTAGGTGGCGCTTGTGTCGAGATCCAGAAATAACCCCCGCGGTGCGGATCGCTAGTGAGAAATAAAAATCATCTATGTTTAACCACCTATTAAATACTTACGATTCGTTCCGGCGACTGGGAAAGTGACAACAATCTTGGCACTGTTCTCGGGATCACTTACGAGAGTAGCAACTCCATCAATAGTAGCCAAGCTTTGGTTTACTACTTGGGTGTTGAACACATCGACTACACTGCCGTTCAAAGTATAGTAAGCATTGCTACAGGTACCAAATTGGAACCGACTTGGATATGATTCGATGTCATGCCATAAGCCCAAATACTGAAATTATAAAAAAAAATATATAGTTTTTTTTTGCAAATGAAGTAAAGTTGTGATAATTTGGGGATATCTAATATATAAAATTCTCGTGTCGCGGTGTTTATCACCAAACTCCTCCGAAACTGCTGAACCGTCTTGTATGAAATTTTGTGTGCATATCGGGTAGATCTGAGAATCGGCCAACATCTATTTTTCAAACAAGACCGACCCCTAAATATTTTTTTTATTTTTTTGAGAATTTGTTTTTGTTGTTATTTTAATATGATTTAGCATTAAAAATACACACTTCAAATTTTCACCCTTCTACAATCAACCTCTGTTTTTTATTCGCGATTTATAATAGTAAAAAAGATTTCCTAGAAATAATGTATATGGCAAAACAACGTTTGCCGGGTCAGCTAGTTAGATTATAATTATAAAGTTTTTTTAAGTTATTCAGTTTAAACAATATGGTACCGAGTTTCCATATGGCAACATGCATTTATATCATCAGTAGGACAATTTGAAGAGAAGCGCATAAAAATAGAGATGTAATAGTTTTCGGTAATCAGGCGTCGATTCCTCCTGGAATATTGTAAATTCCACTGCTGAATATAGGCCTCCCCCATAGATTGGCCTCATAGAGGGGATATTTGCAATAGGTGCCACGCTTGGTAAGCGGGTTGGCAACGACAGTTTTTTTATTTTAAGTCGTTATAAAGAAGACGCTGCTGCCCATCTCCTGATTTGTTTCAGGACCCGCGCCACTTAACGGTAAGATAATTAGCTTATTTGCCTGTTATTCTAAGAAATAATACAGAACTCTAAGGAATTCCGTTATTAATTTCAAAACATACCATCAGGTCGATGAATATTTTTTTTTATAGGATAAGGGTGACAAACGAGCACACAGTCCACCTGATGGTAAGTGGTTGCTGCGGCCCATAGACATCTACATCTATCCTCTATTCCAAATCAAAATAGATGCGTTGGCACCCGTGAGGACTAAGATGGAATGCCTCATTTCCAGTAAAAAGTGCCGCCGGCCACCTGCACTCACCAAGCGAAATGCAGAGGTAAACCTCTACTTCACGCTGGTTATCTGTGAGGTCGTGGTACCACCCCGGTTCGAGCCGGCCCATCCGTGCGACAGCAAAAGCTGCCGCGTGGCTCTACCACTGTTAAAAATTATTTTTGTAAATAAAAATTATGAAGACTATTAACGAAAAGTTATAAGAGTTTTTATGCAGTCTTTACAGAGGATAATATTTTAAAATTTTGATAAAGTTGGACAAAAGAAAGATATAAACTATAAGGTTTAATTTACCTGAGCTAGGTTGAAGTTCCTTACTACAGGAATATTGGGGTCACATTGGCCGCGGTATACAACAGGTGTGTTAGGTGCTACGCTGGGGAAATAGAAGCAGGCGGTATCGGAATGGTCAATATTTATATAATAGCGACTATTCAAAACGTTTATCCTATTGACGATTTGGTTAATGTTGTTTGTTGCAGTGGCAGATAACTGTTTCGCTCGACTTAGCTTCCAGCTCCATACTGAAATAAACGATGTTCATATATTAATTGTTAAGTTGGTGTACACTGAATATGAACTTATTAGCTTTATTCGTTACCTCTTCGCTGTTGGTTATTTATGTTTTGACAACTGTACACTAAGGCATAATTATCATAATCAGTGTCTAAGATCCAGTAATCGGATTGCTGCGGTGCTGAAAAAACAAAAATGAATAAATATAAATTATAATAATCAACCTAAGTATTGGCATATCGAGATTTATAAATTTAGTTTAAATTTTTTATCCTTCCTTTATTATTTGGGGAGTTTGTGAGCTTAGTATGGTAACTATCTCCTGTAAGTGGGATTTCGGGTTTGAATTTATATGTATTTGAACCTAAAATAGGTCGCTAGATACTCGTTTTTTTAATAACAGCAGCCCTTACACTTCTTTGTATGTGTCTTTAGAGTTGATTACTATTGTTAATGCCATATATTAAAGTTAAGATCAAAACCTACATTTGATTTAAATATCGGTCATCAGGATATTTAGCCAACACAACATATCATCATTGTATTAGTGTTACGGGTAAATGTAATTAAGTCAGTATGGAAAACTGGCGGAGCTACTAGAATGATAGCAATAAATAATAAGTAAATAAAATTAAAAATCTTGAATCTTGATGCAATGAACAATTATAATATATAACAAATATTAAGTGGTGTACTCAGTTTTATATTAATAGTATTTATGTATACAGTGACTATGCTTTGATATTAGCATTTGGGCGCTAATACGATCAAGAGAATATGTCGGAAAATTCTGTGTATAATGCCTAGCTGTTACAATATTCTTTCAAATTAAAGATCATTGTTACTATGATTGAACAAGCGAAATAAAATAAATAATGTTTTTAATATACCTACAAAAGCTTTTTTATATTCTTACACTGTCATCCGATTCTCAGTTATGTTCAAAATTTCAAGTCTTTTTACGTCATCAGAAAGTTAATTTAAAATCAATTACTGTATTAGACCGGAACAGACATACACGAAGTTAATAAAAACGTGGTAAAATACAATTTAATCGTTCTTGATGTACAATTTTATTGCCTATTTGAATGTTCAAAATTATTACCTCCAGGGAATGTGACTAGTAACTTCGCACTTCCATCAGTAGTAGCTAATATTGCAGAACCATTTATAGTATCTAAATCTTGATTGACTACTTGAGTATTGTAGACTTCTACAGTTAGATCAGGTAGCAGTCTGTAGTTAGCTTCATTGCATGATCCGGATTGGAAATCTGATGGGTAGGTTTCGATCATTCTCCATCTGCCCATATACTAAAAATTATGATAATTTATTAGTCATACATAAGTATATAAGTTTTGTAACATATACAAAAGCAAAGAGTTAGCCCATGATTATAATTTTTAAATATTTTATTTAGTTTATGCTCAGTAAAGAAGGCGAATATTATATATTTTTTCGAACGCTGATAATAAAAATTCAACAAAAGTGTTGATAGTCATACGAGAAAATAGTGAGACAATGCATTGTTCAAATACTAAATAGTAAGGCTTTTTCCCTATTTCTGCCACCAATGTTGTTTTGGTTTAAGTATAAAGCATTTTATTTTAGTTCGTAGTAGCGTTGTTTGAAGTTGTTTACATGTATTCATAGATGGCAGTGTAACGCTGTGCGTAACGGCATTGTATACTCTTGCTATTATATTAACTACTATTTTTTTTAAATCATTTAAAAACTTTTTTTTTACATTTGTTTTTTAATTTTTTACCTATTTTAATGTTATAAAACATACCTAATGCGTATTATATTTCATTATCTATTTATTTATGAAAAAGATTACCCTGACTGGATCAAAATTTTGCACGACCCTAATATTAGGGTCGCATTGTCCGGTAAACACCACTGATTGACCTGGTGGAATATCAGGTAAATAGAAACAAGCCTCCTCTGATTGATCAATATTTTGATAGTACATGTTGTCCAATACTGTGATGGTTTGAATAGCATTGTTGATAGCCGTATTAGCGGCTGCGGAGAGCTGTTTTGTTCTACTGAGTTTCCAACTGTAAACTGGTAAAAATTGAATTATGATTATATAGTTCTGTATGGTAGTACTTACTTTATTTCATGTCATTAATACCACTTACCTGCCCTAAAATCTGATCCTTGATTTACACAACTGTATGCTAAAGCGTAGTTGTTGTAGTCTGTACTTAAAATCCAGAAAGGAATTTCAATTTCTGAAACCAAAAATGTAACATATAAATGTATAAATACTTTAGAATAAAGCTTTCATTTCTTGTTTGCAATGATTGCATTGATTTTCATTTGACTTGCAATTATGTCTTTAAATCACTATAACGGTCTCTTAGACTTTAAACTTGGAATTGGAGTCCCACATTGTATAACCTAAACAATCCTATGGATTAATTTTGGTTTTTAAATCGTGTCACAATGCTCAAATTAACACGAGTACTTCGATACGTTGTAAAGTGCCTCCATTTAAATTCACCACCCCATCTCATCATGTGCTTTTCAAAGGCGACATAAGTAAATGCTCGGTAGATCATTTCGTTTTCGATAGATGTAAAAATAAATATTTAATATTTGATTTTTTTAAAATGAATAAGGGTGGATGGTAAGTGGATGCTGTGACCCACCTCGATTAAGAATTAAGTTGCAGATGCATTGTCATCCCTGAGGACAAAGATGGAACGCCACGTTTCAAGTAAAAAGGGCTCCCTATGTGTAATATCCAGACTGGTGACCGAAGCAACGCCAAAGGTACGAGTTATCTAGGTACTGGTTCAGTAGTGGGCTTGTGAATGCCTAAAAAAAAGCAAACATGGCGATGACGACAAATCTTTCTTGTTATGGGAGGAGTTCTTATCCAGCTGTAGACCGTTTATGGACTGACAAAGTGAAGTTCTATCGGAAACACATAATTTCTACATAAAAAGAATATATCTTAATTGTCATCATAGTAATCATCAAGAACAGTAATTATATGAATTTCGCTGCGTGTTTCTTCCCATATTCCCTTGGTAGATATTATCAGGACATTTAGCATAATAAAAGTAATCATAGGAATTTGCTTTAACTATCGCAACTGTTGGACAGATTGTTGGTCGCAGTATCTGATGTCATGCACCTTTGATCTTAGTTTTTATTGATGGTCTGTCGAATTTTTATCTAATATGATTTGATTATCCTCTTGGATGGATTTTGACCAAGAGGACGACTTCCAAATACATTCCATCCATTACAGCCTCTAAAATTCTACTTCTGTCTATCACCTATAGATTGCCTCATAGGGGGGGATTTTGCTATAACGGTTGTCAGGCGGGATGGCAACCGCAGTTCATAACTTTAAGTAGTTATCAGGAAAATGATGCTGTCCATCTCCTGTTTCAGTTTCCCTCTGTCGCCTCTTACGACATCCACGGGACAATATGGGGTAGTGGATATTCTTACACCGCCACTACATGGTGTTTTCCTAATTATCGGAGGCTACTAACAGCACACAAAACATTTTAATGCCGTAAGTGTATGCTTAATCTTCCTAACTTCTTGTGTAACGTTGATGTAATGAAATCGGATAGTGATAGTCAGGATAGTGTAACAAACAGAAAATTACAACATACTCAGGCTCTAAAATGAACGATCCCTGATTTTGCATAGATGTTACCTCCGACATTATGTGACGTACACACGTGATAGTTATATAGTTAGGTAAAACGTCTTCTGAGTCTTTTATGCCACATATATGATGACTTGTAGTGATGGTTACACCAATACTGATACTACACGACGATATTATTTATTACAACTGACCAATAATACCCATGTAGGGCTGGCCCCCACTGGATATAAGACATGCACTTGGTATAAGACATGCAGGAAGTCGATAGACGCAGGTGGCTACCTGCCTGCATGTCTCAGTACCGTACTTTATAGCATTCCTTGGGGGAGTCCTATGTTCAGCAGTGGACTTGTGAATGGCTGTAATAATGACGAAGATGATGATGATGAATCAAAAAACCACTGTTGTGCATGACCTATGTTTGCACTATAGATTATGCCTATCCTGTAGATAGTTCCATTAGTTTTCAACACAACGATATTAAACAACATATTTTATATAACGAGTTTATAATGCACTTACGTTGATTGCCTTGAGTAAGTTTGATCAGTAATCTTCCACTTGAATCTGTAGAGTTGATAGTCACTACGCTGTTGGAAAGTCTCAAAGTGTCATTAAGTACGTTGAACGATTGCAGATTAAGTGCGTTAGAACTGGTCGAATATTGATGATAAACGCATTGACCTGATTGCTGGTCTTTTGGATACGCTTGAATTTCGTACCATGTGCCTTGGAACTGAAAATGGTACGCAAGCTTACGTTACAATATGCAATTATGTTTTTAGAATAAAATAAGAGAATTTTTGACAGAAATTATAAAAATACTTATTTTAGTCATTTTCGACCCTTTACGATTGGGAAAAAAACCTCTGTCCTTGGAAGAAGCGAGAACACAAACAAGATTTTAATCTATCACTAAACAAGACTAGCCCCTCATATGTTCTGTTGTTTCATTGTGACACACAGTGTAACAGCTGTACTCCTCGGTACGCCCTGCGTTCGATTCTCAGTTGTAGCCAACGTTAGAGTAAAACCCGTGTTCTCCATTTTTCATCCCCAGCTAAACGCAATTTTCTATGTAGTAAATAACTTTGCTTTGGATAGTCTGTTGCTTTAGCTTTTTTTAAATAGTATTACCCGCAAGACATCGCGGCCGATAGTCAAAAGTCCATTCTCATTTTTTGTATCAAAAGAATTTTGTATTTTATATGAAATCAAATTCTATTTCAACATAATTTTCATATTTTTCCATCAGAAATATTACTTCTATATACGCGGGATAAAACATAAATTACTTTAATGCCACTAATATTTTGTTTAATATTTACCTGATTCAAGTTAAAGTTTGAAACGGCTTGAATTGAATCGTCACATTGACCAGGAAATACTACCGGCTTATCTAGTGCAGGCTCGGGGTAGTAAAAGCAACCTGTAGGACTTTGATCCTGTATTTTAAAGTAGCGTTGGTCCAAAACCGGTATGGTATTGACAACAGAGTTAATGGCAGTTATGGCCTGTGGCGTCAATTGCTTGGTTCTGCTTATTTTCCAGCCATATACTGCAATTCGATAAAACAAAGTGGATTATTAATTAATTTTTGATAATTATATAACTTGATTATTCTCTTTATATGACGATCCAAACAATAATGTTGTACCTTGTCTATGCTCGTTATCAATATTCCTACAACTGTATACCAGAGCATATGAAGTATAATCCGTTGCTAGCACCCAATAGTCGGTCGATATGTTTACTAAAAAAAAAAACAAATAATTTTTTTAAAATTAAAAGTGCTAAAAGTTACGCAAACAATTTACAGGAATAAAGTCCATCAACAAATAATGTCATTCACATCCGCCATATTTGTCAATATAATTTATCCTGTATACCTAAAACTCCGTGATATACATTACCTTTTTATAAAATAAAATGACAAGCGAACTAACCTGGATGGTAAGTGGCTACTGTAGCCCGTGGACATAATAGGTAAGATGGTGAAACTACTCAGACTGTCTCATGTGCAGAAAAGGTGTCCTAGCACCTATGGGTGTATTTTGCATGTATCATGCAAAATACTGGCATTCTTCACCGAATACCATCATCTGTATCTGTATCACACACATGCCTGTGTCGGGTTGGCCAGTTTCTAAAAAGGCTTGATAACATAACGGTGACGAGCGAGTTGAAAATCACAAAATGAATAAATTACATTAGATTAGAACTAAACAGTTTGCTTCGTCTTTTATTTTCCTGTGGAATAATTTGCCGGCGTTTGTCTTTCCGTCCGAATACAATCTGGGCGTCTTCAAGGCAAGAGTGAATAGGCTTTTGTCACGCTAAGATAGTGTGATTTACCATCTAGGGCTACATTGCCACTTACCACCAGGTGGGATTGTGGTAAAGCGTTAGCTTGTAATAAAATAAAAAATTGAGATATATTATGTCAAGTTGGACTTCTAATTAAGAAATTACGGACGGAGCTAAAAGTTCCTTTTGGACTTCACGTCTGTCGGATAAATCTCTCATTTTGGACTCTACAGCAGAGTATCGATTAAAAGCGATTTCGATATTTTTTTTTAATAAAATGGTATTAGGAGTTGACATAGCGAAGTTGAGAGTCGTCAGAATGTATTTTCATATATTTATTATCCAGGATCCATCACAACGTTTTGACGTTGCGTTTTGAAGTCACTAAATAACTGACGTGACGTTGACAAAATTATTTTAGAGTAGCCAAAGAATAAGAAGAAGAAGAAGTCAGTAAATCACTATTTATAGTAAACCTTGCTGTCTATCTTTCTACCCCTATAACTCTGGCCTTCCCCATAGTCTTATTTCCCTCTTCTCACACTCGCGAAATGGGAAATCACGTGAAGGCTTTTAAACTTTCACCACACGGCAATGACATTCCTAAGCAAAACTGACGTCTCCCGTCACATTTTATTTCTGCTACAAAATATACTACAACATAATAGTGTAAAAATAAACAGGATAAAACTTACGATTGGTTCCAGCAACTGGGAAGGTAACAGTAAGTTTTGCACTGGCGTCATTAGATTCCTGTAAAGTGGCAATTCCTCTGATGGTATCTAGTCTTTGGTTTATTACTTGCGTGTTATACACTTCAACGGCCCCTCCTACGATTTCGTAGAATGCATTAGAGCATGTTCCTCCTTGGTATGGATTTGGATAGGATTCTATATCATGCCACAAATTCATGTACTGTAAAAAAATGCGATGTGAATAATTATTTAAGCTACTTGATAGTTTCACTGTTCTGAATTACCGATCGTGTATATTATTGTGAAGTAGTAGAACACACGCTATGTAGATAGATTTGTAATATTAAATCCCGACAAACTTAGTCTTCGTTCATTACAAAAAACAAAAAATAAACTTTGAAAGTAAATCCATTACTAATCTAATGCAATCTACAAGACTCCACTGCTGAACATTGGTCTCTCCCAGAGATTGCTTCATAGGGCGGATTTTGACATAGATGCTACGCTTCATAAACAGGTTGGCAGCCGCATTTTTTCATTATTATTAAAAAAAATAAGATAACAGTACTTTGAAAGTAAGTCCATTACCAATCTATTACAGCCTATAAGACTCTACTGCTGAACATTGGTCTCCCCAATAGATTGCTTCATGGGGCGGATTTTGACATAGTTGCTACGTTTCGCAAGCGGGTTGGCAGCCGCTTTCTTTTGTTTTTTGAGTTGTTATTGAGGAATATGCTGCTGCCTATCTTCTATTTCAGGTTTCCCTATATCGCTTATTATGATGATCACCCATGGGATGAAATAGAATAGTAGATATTCTTACATTGCCACTACACCGTTGAAAGTAAAATGATATGCGGGTGTTAACTACAAAATAATACTTTCAAAGAAGTGTTCATCACATTCACATTAGTTGGAGTAAATGGTAATACGTGGTAGAGCTATTTTGTAGCTATTATTATGATTGCAAGTATGATTCGACTCGACTGGGGAAGGACCACGCTCTCATTGAATATCAGCGTGAATTAGCAACTTAATGCTGCCGTGTTTCATATCGTAGTGTAGAGAACCGTAGATTCCTTTTAATGGTAACGAGGCATTTCATCTTAGTCCTTAGGGTTATCAACCCATCTGCATTTTGATTCTTAATCGAGGATAGATGTAGACGTCTATGGATCACAGCATCCACTTGCCATCAGGTAGACTGTGTGCTCATTTATCACCCTAATTTCTTAAAAAAAAACAATCCGTTTATTATGCATGTAATAATTAGACTAATCTATAATTAGACTACCCTATAACATAATACAAAAGTCGTGTGGGCTACTACATCACATAATAACTTAAAAAATAAGAACGTTTGTTTTTACCCGTTGTGCATCAAAACCAGTTACGACCCTTATGTTCGGATCACACTGTCCTCTAAATGTGACAATGTTGCCATCTGGCTCTGGATAATAGAAGCAGCCGTCATCGGATTGATTAATGATTTCGTAAAAGCGGTTGTTGAGGACATCAACGTTGTTGATGACTTGGTTGATGTTGTTAATAGCGGTTGGTGTCAAGTCTCTTGTTCGACTAAGCTTCCAGCTTAAAACTGGGGAAAGAAAAATATTTTTACAATAAAGTCCCATGTTTCTTAATACTTAACTTTAAGAATTCACTTTATCTTTTCTTATGAGTTCGTTTAAGTCCACGTGTGGATATGAGTCTCTATTATTAAAGGGAAGCTTTGTTGTAATTGCAAGGCTTGGCAGACAGGTTGGCGGTTGCAGTACTAGACGTTTTGGTAGACGAAGTCATTTCCATTTCTTTCTCTCTCCATTTCGCTAACAAAGATTCTATGTGAAAGAAGTTGTATGATAACAACATGGTTGTCGAGTTATTAATATATTTTATATTAATTCGTTTGCCGTAACGTGTGCCGGACCAATGAACACGTTAACTTTTTCACGCACCAATGGTTTGCCTTTTTCTTTGACGGATGGGGCTCTGGAGACCGGACTAATGGCGGAAAATCCATTTAAAAATGCTTTACTTTGTTAAACTCTGCTTTTACCAACCCGTTTGCCCTGTTACCGCTACATTAGAATTTTCTTGGACACAAGACACAAGGACGCACATCCAGACTCCGATCAGTTATTTGTGGAGCATAAAAACTTTTTGTTCCTTGCAGGATTCAACCTCGCAGCTCTTCAGCGCCGCAACCAAACGCTAAATTGCATTACGGGTTCGTGATAATCGACGCATTCGTGAAAAGACTCACTGGGGGCTTAAAAATATTGTTGATGTGCGGTGTGATTTGGAAATTGCAAAAAATTCTATGTTATATCGATTACGAATTTGTGCATCTAATTACTCAATGAGTTCAGAATGTAGATTTTGAGCATACAATACCTCTTCGTTGTTGGGAGTTGATGTTACTACAGCTGTATACCAGTGCGTAAGAGTCATAATCCGTGTCTAACACCCAATAGTCCAGTGTTGTTGCAACTGAAATTAAAAAAAATGTCCATCAATAGAAGTACCTATTTTCAGTTATGGGGGATAACCCACGGGAGATAACTGTGAAGGATGATGGTGAAATTCACCATTTAAATATCGGTTGGTATGGGTATTTCTTCTGTACACAGTATGACCAATAGTGTTATCAGGATTTCGGATGACTAAAACATCTAGGAAAGCTAAAGTATTGTTTGCCTCTAACTCCATTGTGAATTGTATTTTAGGATTTATAGAATTAAGGTGGAGTGTAAAGTAAGTAAAGTAAGGTGGAATAAGACGTCAAACACCTCAGTCCCCCGTGACCACGGGTGCTGAAAAGCACCCGAAACGTCGGGAATATAAAAATAAGTTAATATACGCGATAAAATCCGTAAAATTAGTTTTATTTAAAAATGTGTTTTTATTGCCAATTTTATACATGACATTTTCGCTAAACTTATTCAGATTGAAAGATATAAATGCATATTTCTTGTGACAGAGGCTTTATTATAATATGTAATGTATATTTTAAAGAAAATTGAATATGGTTTTTAAGATTACTAAGCCTGTTATCTCTCAGAAGTCTTTCATACTTGGAAACAAAACTGAAAAAATAGCCTGGATCATTATTTTGGCGAGTTTATGGGTTGGATCATATCTGCATAACATGGCCCAATTATGAACCGAATTTAGTAACTATATTTTTCTTAAATAGACTATTATATACCACCGTACCATTATTACAGTACCATTTAAATTTGAAGATAATCTTCCGAAATTGAGGATTCCTATTTAGACGACATCCTAAATGTTACCTCGAGGTATCAAATGCTTAGTCCACTCAGAAGGGTCCAATAATCAGACTTTTAAAAGTGAAAATCGACTTATATCATTTAGTCTTTGAAGTCGGTGCTAAGACAGAATGGGTGGAAGAATTAAGGACAGGACTTAAGAGGCTAATAAATTATGTAGGAATTATTAAATTCTTTTTAATTTTTGAATTCTGTTGTTACTATTAAACAGTAAATTATAATTTTCGCAAGGTCTGTATAACATTAATAAGACAAAATAATTACAAATTGTAATATATAAATACATTTTCGACTTATGAGATATATGTAAACGTATACAAGATATAATTTAGAGTAAAATTTTTAATATATAAAATGTTTTTATTAAATGCTATTTAGTTTTTAACCGAGTCTCCAAAACGGGAAGGCTCTATATTCGACAAGTGTGTTTATTATGTACATTCACAGATTTTTCGGACACGTTTGAACCGATTTTAATTATCAGGAGCGGTATTATATAAATTTTAAGAAAATATATCGCCTCTACGGATGGAAGAATATGGGGTGAAATATTTAATGTAAACCATTTAGACGTTTTTATACGTGGTAGAGCCATGCTGCAGCTATATTATGGTTGTAGCACGAATAGGTCGGCTCGACCGCGGAAGGACCATGCATGCTCTCACAGGATACCAGCGTAAAATAGCAGCTTGACACTGCTGTGTTTCGTATGGTGAGTGTAGAGAATCGGAGACCCTTTTTACTGGAAACGAGGCATTCCATCTTAGTCGTCACATAGATATAGATGTCTATGGGCCACAGCAACCACTTACCATCAGGTGGACTGTGTGCTCGTTTGTCACCCTTATCCTATAAATAAAAACTATTTAGACGACATTCTAGTTTTTTCCTCATACTTCCAATCATCCATCAATCCTCATAGTCCAATCAAAAGGGTGAAATAATTAAATTAAAAAGTTACACCGAATTCTATAACAAAAAAGTCGGTATATTAGCTTCTGAAGTCGAGTTTAACTATCCGATACACTATGCCTTCCCCTGCTTGCCTTAGCACATATGTTATAAGCTATTATTGTGCACGACGCAACAATATTAAACAAACGAAAGAAAATGCTTATTGTAACCGGCGCTAGTTGAACAACCTAGGAGCGGTGGGCGGAGCCATGACGACGGTGTAATTATCAGGCCACGCCTCTGGTTCGACAACTAGCAAGGGTTATACGGGGAACTAGCGCAACCTTATGTTGAATTTAAATTAAAATTTGTGTAAATAATTGTATTACTTGTATCGAACGATAAAAAATAATGATTGTATTATAACTAAGTTTAAGGTTGAGTTGTAACTGTGCAATAACTCTCCCAAATAAAGGCACCGTATGAACAGGGAGAGTTAGCATAGTCTTCTAATGAAAACTATAATTGTTAAATATAATAAATGTTTACTTTATTATATAATAAATATATTAGGCCGTTAGGCACATAAAAAAAATAGTAGTAGTTTAACCAAAGAGCATGTTATCATGACACGGCCGAGGAGCAAATGAAGCCACGCGCACCGCGCCACGACGTTTTATATTTATAGTGCTGAGGCGGGGGGAAGGATTCTCCGCCTAAAGCAGCTGAAAATTATAATGTAAACCTGTAAATAAGTAAAAATATTGATATGTACACCCTAGTCTAACAAGTAGTTATAAGAATATTATATAGTGAATTATGTTTATTAGTTTGTAAGGTTATTAAATAAATAAAGATAGGCGCGGGGGTGAGGCAAGGGTCCGCTGGCCAGCAGCGGCCAAATCATATAAAAGACGGGCCGGCCGCTAGGGTCAGCAGTCGCTCTCCAGCCACCGAAAAGGCACCAGCAAGAAAAGAAAAAGTACAAGTTCCTCCTCACCGCCGCTTGCCTCCAGTTAAAAGCAAGACCAGCGCGTTTTATTCCATTTTTCGCACGGCATTACGGCGATCCGTAATATTAATGGTCCTTCGAGAAGCCGGATTACTAGAAGAAAAAGACAATATCGGTCTTGGTATTGCCGGAAGAAAGAAGCAAACCGCAAGAACGAAAAAATATTATTGTGAAGAAAAATGGTGATTACGCGTAGTAACAACGGAGAATCATCGAAGCGTCGCAAGGATGAACAAACAACCCAGGGGGCCACAGAAGAGGCCTCCGGGGGCGACTCAGCCGCTAGTGGTTCAACAAACACCACTAGCGAAACCACAACGGTCAGCGATACGACCGCTACCTCTGCAACCGATAGAACAACCGCAACGGAAGAAACCCAGCAAGAGGGTGATCAAAGATCGCAGTGCACATTGAAGCCCGGCGAGACTAGGTCACGCCGCTCCGTAGCCTCACGCAAGAGACTCCTCGCGGAGTTAGAGGCGAAAGAGCGGTTAGCCGAACTCAAGCTCGAGCAGGCTCAGTTGCAAGCAAGAACAGAATTGCAAGAAATACACGTGCAGCGACTACAAGCAGAAGCCGGATCAACCGATGAAGATGAAGAAATAGAAGACGATTTGGCATCAGTGCGCATTAGTACATGGTTGCAAGAAAAACCTACATCGCAACCCGCGCCTCAGCCCGCGCCACAACCCGCGCCGCAGCCTGCGCCGCAACCCACGTCGTACTTCGCGCCGCAACCAGCACTGCAGATCGCACCACCCGTACTTCAACAGTGTGCGCCGCAATACGCTCCGCAACATACCGCGCCGCAGAAAGAAGACTATGGACAGGCGCAGCAGCAAATCGACGTCGCTACCTTAGCCGCTGCTCTATCACAAGCAGTACGAAGCACAAGGGAGCCGCCGAAATATATACAAGAGCTGCCCTCATTCAATGGTAGCAGCAAGGAGTGGCTCAGCTTCAAGACAATGTACGAAGAATCTTCAAAGTACTTCACGGCGAACGAAAACATAGCGAGAATACGCCGAAGCTTAAAAGGGACAGCAAAAGAAGCCGCAGGTTGCCTACTTATAAGCCAACCAGATCCCAGAATTATAATAGAAGCTTTGGAAAGGAGATTCGGACGACCAGAAGCGTTAATTCACTTGGAAATAGAGAAGCTGAAGCTGCTGAACAAAGTTACGGACAATCCCAGGGAGCTATGCATATTCGCAAATCGCATAGCGAACGTAGTGGGCACCGTGGAAGCACTCAAGAAAGCACACTATCTGCATAGTCCAGAAATGACGCGAGTTATCACAGACAAACTCACGCCCATATTGAAAAGCAAATGGTACGACTATGCAGCCAGAAAGAAAGAAGATATCCCAGAGCTTAAGAAGATATCAATGTTCTTAAACGAAGAAGCGGATAAATGCAGCGCGTATGCCTTGCCGGAGTTCATCGCAGAGGACAGCGAAACGAGAGAGCGAAGACCAAGAAAAATAGAACGTGCCTTCGCCACAAGCAAGAAACCATATGAAGAACGCTGCCCTCAATGCAAACAAGAACACAAACTGCCCGATTGCAAGTCATACGCCGCTCTGTCCACAAATGACAGATGGGAAGTAGCAAAGAAGTACAATATCTGCTACCGCTGTCTGCGAGGCAAACATCGTCGATTACTGTGCAAAGCTCCACCGTGCGGAAAAGGCGGATGCATGATGAAACACCATAAATTGTTGCATCACGACAGAACAGCAGTAATGGAAAAAGAACCCGCTATGGAAACCGCAACATCGGCAAAGGAGGTCAACACAGCGACTCGACCGTACAAGCACCGCCGCGCTTACCTAAAGATTGCGCCCGTAACAATAAGGGGGCCGCTAAGCTGTGTCGAAACATACGCATTATTGGATGAAGGAAGCACGGTCACTTTAGTCGATGCCTCAATCGCCGACGTCATCGGCGCCGACGGCCCAGCCCACACAATGTGGATACAAGGGGTCGGCTCGGAGGTGAAACACGAGAAGAGCAAGATCGTCAGCTTTAAAATAAGAGGAACGTACGCGCAAGAAGAACACAACATAGAAGCAGCGCGTACTGTAGAGCGGTTGGACTTCGCGCCAGAATCCGTGAATGAAGATCACTTGGGGAAGTGCCCACATCTGTTGGATATCAAAGAGGATATCACCTACGAACGCGCCTCACCGAAAGTACTAATCGGGCAAGATAACTGGCACCTCATAGTGTCTAGAAAACTGCGCGTCGGCCGTCGAGACCAACCAGTCGCCTCATACACCAACCTGGGCTGGGTTCTGCATGGCTGTCATAGCTCATTGACGTCGACGGTCACCTTCTGCGGCAGACTACATCAGAGGGAAGATGCACCACCGATAGAAGAAGAAATAAAAAATTATTTCAAATTGGAGTCGCTGTGCATCGAGCCGAGAAGACCGAAAGAAGATCCCGAGCAGCGAGCCATGCAAATATTGGACGAAACCAGCCAGAGGTCAGCGGACGGCAGATTCGAGACAGGGTTGTTGTGGAAACAAAAGGACTTCCAAATACCAAATAATTATAAGGAAGCGGAAAGGCGCCTGCACACCTTAGAGAAGAGGCTCGACCGAGACAGCAATCTCAAGCTACAGTACGAAGAACGCATCGAGAACCTCTTCAACTCGGGTTACGCAGAGCGCGCGCCAATGCCACCGCCGCAAGGAAGGACATGGTATCTGCCACACTTCCCAGTCATCAACCCTGCGAAACCGAACAAGCCGCCGAGATTGGTACACGACGCCGCAGCGAAGACAGCCGGAATATGTCTCAACGATATGCTTCACTCGGGGCCCGACTTATTACAATCACTGCCCGGAGTGATCATGAGGTTCCGACAGTATCCGTATGCAGTGAGCGCCGATATAAAAGAAATGTTCATGCAGATTAAAGTGCGCAAAGAAGATAGAGACGTTTTACGTTTCTTGTGGAGAGGCAAGCGGCGGGAGGACCAACCGGAGGAATATAGGATGACGTCAATCATCTTTGGAGCGACATCATCACCATGCACAGCATTATACATCAAAAATAAAAATGCTGAAGAACATGCAGAAGCGTACCCAGAAGCTGCGGTCGCCATAAAAAGAAACCATTATATGGACGTCTACTTGCAGAGCTTCCACTCTGTCACGGAAGCTCAGCAAACAGTAAAAGCAGTCGATCACGTCCACAAACAAGCGGGATTCGTACTCAGCGGGTGGACATCGAACGAAGAAAAAACAATAGAAGAAATAACGACAGAGCATAGACAACACGACGCGACCGTGTGCCTGGGCGGAAAAGAAACTGAGAAGACGCTAGGGCTGCTCTGGCATGTACAAAGCGATCATATTGGATTCAATACTAACAATATGAAGATGCCTGCCGACGTAAAAGAAAAACAACGCTTGCCAACTAAACGAGAAGCGTTGAGCGTCATAATGGCATTATTCGATCCGCTGGGGTTAATATCACCGGTGACCACCCCAGCGAAGAGAATATTTCAAGACACATGGCGTTACAAGGCGGACTGGGACGACCCTCTGCCAACAGAATTAAAAGAAAAATGGGAAGGCTGGATTACTTCACTTAACGCCATAGAACAACTAAGAATACCGCGATGCTACGATTACAACCCGGTGTCGACGCGCCAACTACACACATTCGTCGACGCAAGCGAGGAGGCCTACGCAGCAGCAGTGTATTGGAGAACGGAGCGAGCAGACGGCAGCGTTAACATATCATTGGCCGCCGCCAAGAGCCGCGTAACACCACTGAAACCAGTTTCCATACCACGGCTCGAGTTACAAGCGGCACTGCTGGGAGCTCGTCTTGCGCAGACCGTGATCGATGAACACGATGGCGACATAGCAGGCAAGACATACTGGTGCGACTCCCGTACTGCACTGGTGTGGATAAGATCGGAGCCTCGCGCGTACAAAGCTTTCGTCGCTCATCGCCTGGCGGAGATAGAAGATACGACCAAAAAGAACGAATGGCGTTGGCTACCGTCTAAAGAAAACGTGGCAGACGACGCAACCCGAGCCACACCAGAAGGGTTCGACGAGTCGCACCGATGGTTCCGAGGGCCCCCGTTTCTGCAGCGTCCACCGGCAGAATGGCCGCAGGAAGAGAAAACGACACAATATGACACCGGGGAAGAGCGAGAAATATGTAACATCGCTGTTAAAAGTGAAGACTCGACAACAACACATCTTCCACAGATAGGAAGATTTTCTAAATGGATTCGCCTCATAAGGGCGACAGCGAGAGTCCTCCTATTCATCGACATGTGCAGACCAAACAAGCACGTAGTGAAGGCTGGGCGTAAACGCAACAAAGCAAGACAAGGTAGCGACCCTGGCTGGCAGAGAACAAACAAACGCAACACCCCCGCCAAGGAGAAAAAGGCGACTCCTACTGCCTCATCGCTTGTAGGAATACCGGCCGCTTATCATATGAGAGCCGAACAACTGTGGGTGCAAGCCAGTCAGCGGGAAAGCTTCACGAAGGAGCTCAAGAGAATCACCAGCGGAAGTGTTCCGGGAGGCGACGACAAACTAGGCCACCTGAGCACATACATTGATGAAGAGGGGACCCTACGCCTCAGAGGTCGAATAAAAGCGGCATCAGAAGTGGAGGACGACATGTACGACCCTCCCATATTAGACGGGAAGCACGCATACACTCGCCTGTACATAGCACACGTACACGAGAGGCTGCATCACGGAGGCGTAGAAACAGTTGTGAATGAATTAAGACAGAGATTGTACGTAAGAAAAATACGTCCAGTAGTGAAAACTGTCGTCAAAGGATGCCTGCCGTGCCGTCTAAGAAAAGCCAAGCCTGCATCACCGTCTACAGGAAACCTGCCGTCCGCACGCCTCGCTCATCACGCACGTCCGTTCACATACACCGGACTAGACTACTTCGGGCCAATAGAAGTCACAGTGGGACGACATCGCGAAAAGCGCTATGGCGCGTTATTTACCTGCATGACGTCGCGAGCAATACACATAGAAGTAGCCCACTCGTTGAGCGCAGACTCAGCCGTGTCGGCACTTAGGCGTTTTATGAGCAGAAGAGGATGCCCAAAAGAAATATGGAGTGACAACGCTACGTGCTTCAAGGCAGCAGACAAGGAGATGGCCGAAGCAGCACTCGCAGCCCTCGAGCACGAAACCACGTGTCAACAGATTGTGTGGAAGTACATACCGCCATCAGCACCGTTCATGGGCGGCGTATGGGAGCGAATGGTTCGCTCCGTAAAAGAAGCCCTACGCGTCACCCTCAACGAGCGCTATCCCAGCGACGAAACATTGGGGACCCTGCTCGCCGAGGTCGAAAATACTGTAAACTCCAGACCTCTCACACACGTCTCAGTCGACCCAGGAGACCCTGAAGCCATCACGCCGAATCACATCCTCATCGGTCCCAACTCGCACGTACCTGCGCCGGGACACTTCAGCAAGAATGACGTGACGGCCCGCCAGCAATGGAAACGAGCTCAAGCCCTAGCCGACGTGTTTTGGAGAAGATGGGTTAAAGAATACCTGCCCCTACTCCAACACCGGCGGGAGCCCAGCAGCATAGGAGTATCGCCGAAGATTGGAGACCTAGTCATCATTTGTGACTCCAATCTACCACGCAACACCTGGCCCAGAGGGAAAATAAGTAAGGTATATCCTGGCGTCGACGGAGAGGTACGAGTAGTGGACGTAACCACCGGCAGTGGGCACATACTAAGAAGACCAACGAAGAAGATCGTCGTGCTACCAGAGGGATCGCAGCGTGGCGACGGCGGGAGAATGTGCACGACGCAACAATATTAAACAAACGAAAGAAAATGCTTATTGTAACCGGCGCTAGTTGAACAACCTAGGAGCGGTGGGCGGAGCCATGACGACGGTGTAATTATCAGGCCACGCCTCTGGTTCGACAACTAGCAAGGGTTATACGGGGAACTAGCGCAACCTTATGTTGAATTTAAATTAAAATTTGTGTAAATAATTGTATTACTTGTATCGAACGATAAAAAATAATGATTGTATTATAACTAAGTTTAAGGTTGAGTTGTAACTGTGCAATAACTCTCCCAAATAAAGGCACCGTATGAACAGGGAGAGTTAGCATAGTCTTCTAATGAAAACTATAATTGTTAAATATAATAAATGTTTACTTTATTATATAATAAATATATTAGGCCGTTAGGCACATAAAAAAAATAGTAGTAGTTTAACCAAAGAGCATGTTATCATGACACGGCCGAGGAGCAAATGAAGCCACGCGCACCGCGCCACGACGTTTTATATTTATAGTGCTGAGGCGGGGGGAAGGATTCTCCGCCTAAAGCAGCTGAAAATTATAATGTAAACCTGTAAATAAGTAAAAATATTGATATGTACACCCTAGTCTAACAAGTAGTTATAAGAATATTATATAGTGAATTATGTTTATTAGTTTGTAAGGTTATTAAATAAATAAAGATAGGCGCGGGGGTGAGGCAAGGGTCCGCTGGCCAGCAGCGGCCAAATCATATAAAAGACGGGCCGGCCGCTAGGGTCAGCAGTCGCTCTCCAGCCACCGAAAAGGCACCAGCAAGAAAAGAAAAAGTACAAGTTCCTCCTCACCGCCGCTTGCCTCCAGTTAAAAGCAAGACCAGCGCGTTTTATTCCATTTTTCGCACGGCATTACGGCGATCCGTAATAATTATGTATAAATTATTTTGTTATATTTCTGAAGTCGGTTTAATTTTTTCTAAAAAAAACTGTTATTCGATAACAAAACACAATATCACTTACTTCCTGGGAAAGTTATTTGTAATTTCGCACTACCGTCAGTGGATGTAACTCTGGCGGTTCCATTCATTGTATCCAGTTGTTGATTAATCACTTGCGTGTTAAAGACTTCAACGAGATTATTATTTATTCTGTACGTAGCGTCATTGCAAGTTCCTGTTTGTGATTCCAAGGGATAACTTTCTATAAGACGCCATCGGCCTGCATACTGTAAATATAAAGAAAAATTAATCGCAAAAATAATCTTTAATAGCCAGTATTATTAAAAAAAATATGGCTCCAAAGAATTTACTAACGACTATAACTTTTAATTGTGTGTTTGTATTATATAGCAACCGAATTCAAAATTTGGAATTAAATAAATTATACTATTATTTCGTAATATTTCCTATTAAAATTATAATAATTTAATCATCATCATCATCATTACTGCCCGTCACAAGTCAAGTACTGATAACAGTAATTTCATATAGGGGGGGGGGGGGGGTCACTGTATATTATACTTTCCAGCAGTAAAGGACCACGTGGTTATTAGTTAAAGTCCAGCCCTTTGCTGGACACAGCCGTTCTCTAATGTCTCAAAAAGTTTTAGAGCTAGGAAATGTCCACCACGCATCCCTAATGCATGTTGATCTGCTTAACATGTCTTTGATTTTTTTTTAATTTCTTATGTATATCTAGATTTCCTCACGATGTTTTCGAGCCGAGCACGTAGTCAGCACTTTTCAACTAAAACAGCAAAATTGCAACTAACAATTTCATTAGTGCCGGCGGAGATCGAACCCGCCTTGCTCGAATACAGTGAAATTTGTACTGAGCACTTATACCAGGGCGCTGTCGTAAAAGAAATTGATAAAATAAAACTCTTACCCTAGTTAAGTTAAAGTTTTGAACAACTTGAATGTTAGGCTCGCATTGTCCTGGCAAAATGACTGGTTCACCAGGTGCCAGGTCTGGTAAATAGAAGCAACCGCGATTGGATTGATCGATGTCTTTGTAATACTCGTCGCGTAGTACTACGTTGTTATTAATTATATTGTTGATAGTCGTATTCGCTGCCGATGACAACTGCTTCGACCTGCTCAGTTTCCAGCTGAAAACTAATAAAATACGGGTCGTTGTATGTTATAATGTTACAAATATAATAAATTTTAAATTTCGAAAACATTATTTTAAATTATGAATAATATTTTTATACACCTAATAATGTTTTTAAGAGCGAATTTTAGCCACGGTGGCCAGTCTCAACGGAGATTAACTATCACAGGACAGGATTATAACGAATGAGTCTCTGCGCAAGCACAGCACTAAACATACTGATTGCATTCTCTATTCTTTAATTCTCATAGTTTAATAGGATGGTAATTCAATATGACCGGAGAGCGATCTAACGCTACCTAGCTAGCATATACATCTTTATTTATGTTTTGCTTTACTTATTTTCTTCTATCTTCTTTTTTATTGTCTAATACCGCAGACATTGATAAAACAATTTTAGGGAACATAAAAAATAAAATAAAAACATACAGATAGCTACAATGCAATGAATATGGCATAATATCTCAGTTCTCAGAAGTGACCACCCATCTGTAATCTTCTTTACTTGAAATTGGTTGCAAGTGTCCATGGGCTGCAGTAGACACATATCATCGGTTGAACTGTCAGCTCGTTTTACACTTCAACTTAATAAAATAAAAAAACTCCATCGCAGCTTAATTCCGATCTTATCGCATAAGCGTTGTATAAAGAACAGGATTAGTGAATACCTATGTGTTCAGGTTTGTGTTTTCCTGTTTTAGATTATTTGCAAGTTATTTCTGATGTCGAAAATCGGCCATAGGTAAAATGCATTGAAAATTTTCATATCTGAATAAACAATAGGCTTCTTTTTAGTACTTAATATTATCGCTGGCACAGTGGTACTACATTCCGAATGTAAATAAATATATTTACCCAAAGTAACTTTCATATAAAAAATTATTATAAGATTTAGAATTAAACGTATTAAATAATTGACAAGATTAAAAGTATAGTTACCTTTTCTAAAGTCAGATCCTTGGTTGACACAGCTGTATGCAAAGGCGTAATTGTTGTAGTCAGTGCTAAGAATCCAGAATGGTATCGTTATCACTGAAATAAAATTTTATTTTGTTTGTGATCAAAGATTGAATAGCAATAAGCAACTCTTCTTAAGATACTGATACAACTAATGACAATAAAATTGATGAAATAAAAAATAAAAAGAAGAGAAGGTCTAAGGATAATTTAAAATTTAAAATTTTGTACAACCGACTTCAATATAAATTATTAAAGATAACTCAAAAACTAAAAACTATTGATCAAACTTATGTGGGACCACATTAGAAGCAACAGCTTTCGAATAAAAAAATCATCGAAATCGGTTCACCCAGACAAAAGTTATGAGGTAACACTTTAAAAAAGAAAAAAAAAACATATAGTCGAACTGAGTAAATCCTCCTTTGTGAAGTCGGTAGAAAAGGATACATGGAATAATTTATTTTATTTATCGTAGCTGTATAGATTGTAGGGTAAGGTAAAATACAAAATAATGAAGTTGAAGACCGAGCTAAATGGCTAATTTCGGGAGAGGGCTATGTCTAGCAGTGGATTGCCGCAGGCTTTTATGTTCCAGTACACGTGAGTAGGCACATTTTAGCCTTTAAGATTTTGTAAATTTCTTAGACATTTAGATATTTTCCCCGGATGTTTTCCTTCACCGCCGAGCACCTGGCAAATCAGTCCTTAAAATTGTGGCTGATTTCATTCGTGCGGTGGGGATCGACCTCAAGTTAGTGACGTGTTAAGAAATTTATATGAGAACGCTCAGTTTATGCGCTACAATATCTCTTCATAAAAATCATTATTCAGAATAAACTTAAAATATAACGAGAATAAAATGTTTGCATATCTACCTCCATTGCTGGATGTTATTGTAATAGTCATTTTCGCGCTAGAGTCTGTAGAACTGAAAGACAAAACGCCATTCGTGATCCCAAGGAATTGGTCGGTGATACTAGAAGATGTTAAGCTTAATGTATTGCCTGCTCCAGATGTATAGTTGTGGGAGATGCATTGACCCGTTTGTTGTTCTTTAGGATACGCTTGGATTTCATACCACATCCCTTGGAACTGAACAAAATTTTTACTTTAATATTTACTCACGTAAGAATAACATTTTAGACAGTTTTATTATAGTAACCATTCACCTGTTGCAAGTTGAAATTTCTAACAACTTCTATGTTCTCGTCACACGGTCCAGGGAAAACAACCGGCACATCTGGTTGTGGTTCAGGATAATAGAAACAGCCTTCTCTGCTTTGATCCTTTGCAACGAAGTATCTTTGATCTAGGACTGGTATGGTGTTCATAATCGCGTTGATGGCTGTGTTGCCAGCAGCTGGCATTTGTTTTGTTCTACTAAGTTTCCAGCCATACACTTAAAAAGAAGAATACATTTAAATCATACATTTATATAAACAATGGAAATCATTTCATTTAATGCCAATAGAAAATGTCAAAGTCAAAACAAATAGATAGAAACGATATGATAGAGGCGTTAGAGAGACCTCATTTCCATTTGTAAATGTCGTAAGAGGCCATGGCGGCTGTAAGTCAAACTTTAAATCTCCTACACCGGCGACAGTGAGCAACTTTAAAGCTGCTAGACGTTTAACCGTGGCGGTTATGGAAAACCGTCTGTACAACGGAAGGGATTAATGACTAGTATTAATATATTGTATATTATATATTATTTGTATTTATCTATAGTTCTTAAAGTTTTCTTTTATTGTTGATTTTTTTATCCACTTTTCCTGTATGCGTAACTCTGCTTAGCCTAATAGTTTGGCCTGGGAGAATTAGTCCACCGTATGTACTATTTTTGTGTGTAAAAGCTTAAACAATTATAAAAAAATATGGTCTGAATGAAGAAAGCAAATAATAATATGAACATTTACCTTGACTCTCTTCCTCGTTAATATTTATACAGGTATAAACAAAGGAGTAGCTGACGTAATCGGTGCCCAAAACCCAGTAGTCAGTTGTTACAGTAACTGTAAAAGAGTTACATTATAATAAAATTTTACAATTTTCACACCTTTATCGGAATAGTTGATATTACTTACGATTAGTGCCAGCAATCGGGAATGTGACTTCGAGTTTGGCACTACCGTCGGTGGCCACTGGAACGGCCACTCCGTTGATAGTGTCTAAACGTTGGTTTATTACTTGGGTGTTGTAAACAAGAACTGAACTATCAGTCAGAGTATAGAAAGCATTGTTACAAGAGCCTCCTTGAAATACTGATGGATAAGACTCTATGTCATGCCACAGTCCCATATACTAAAAAATGGAAACGAAAAACTCATAAGGCACACCAAGAAAAAAAAACAAAGAATCAAAATAAGTGTAAATTATCTGGTTGGAATAAAAATATACTTTGCATATAAATAGTGGCATTTAAACTTATATTATAATTTATCAAGTGATATAATACCAGACACTTTCCTAAAGATACTCAATACCAATTTGCTTATTATTATTTTTAATTCGATATTTTTAAAGTTAATGTTCGTCATATTTATTTAATGATGACGTCATATCCCTTCAGAACAATAACTAAAGCAAATTATGGTTTTGAGCATCACCCACACAATTATAACAAATTGATTGAGATATATTTGTTAACATCTAATGCCTTAGGAGTTACGACCGAACATAGAAACGGATATACATTCCCATACATAATAATATTACTCTCCTTTAGGACATGCTGTAGTCGAATGAAAAGTAATTTGAGCAAAAAATTGCAGGATTATGTAACAATTTTCAGCAGTGTTAAAAAGTATTTAGAGTATATTTTTAGTATATGTATATTTTTTCTATATATTCGTGGTGGAGCTATGCTGTAACTATATCAGTAGTATATTTGTAGCACGAATGAGTCGGCTCAAGCGGGGAAGGACCACGCTCTCACAGAATACCAGCGTAAAATAGCAGCTTAACGTTGCTGTGTTTCGTATGGTGAGTATCTCTACACTCACCATATGAAACACAGCAGCCAGATACCCCTTTTACTGGAAACGAGAAATTCTATCTTTGTCCTCTCGGGTGACAACACATCTACATTTTGATTTGTAGTTGAGGATGGATATAGATGTCTATGGTCCACAGCAACTACTTACCATCAAGTGGACTGTGTGCTCGTTTGTTATCCTTATCCCATAAAAAATGTATATTTGTGCACGCAATTTCAAATTTGGGAAGATGAAAGAAAGAGCTGAATTAAAAAAAAAAGTTATTAATTTTTAATATTTGATTGTTGATAATGACGTGGCACTCACTCTTTCAGGATCAAAAGCAGGCATTGCGGGTATGCTCATGTCACATCGTTTACGGAAGACCACTGGTTGACCTGGGACTGGATTGGGGAAGAAGAAACATCCTGTGTCCGTTTGATCAGTTTCCGTGTAGAAGCGTTCATTTAAGTCGATTTCAGATTTAATTAATTCATTGACAGCAACTTGGGAGGTAGCTGATAGTTGCCTTGATCTACTGAGAATCCAACTGTATACTGAAATAATGTTTTATAGTTATTATTTTAAGTTAATAAACATCTAGTAGATGAAACCTTTCAGTGTGAAATCCATGGAGGTAGTATCATAGGAGGAGATGCAAGACCCAGTCACTGGTCAACATATATGACTATGAAATATTAAGATGATTATTTAGTTGCAAATTCTCATAAATTTAAAGTTTGCACCATGATTAGTAGGAAATCATATGGCTATGAAAACGGAAAGAGTAATTGTTTTATTGTTCTTTATGTAAAGAACAGAATTTAATACAGAAATATTTAATTTATGGCAATAGAACAAAAAACTTACAACTTAACATACACTTCTGTTTATTGAACGTCTATTTACTTACCTCGTTTTTGATTGTTAGCGAGGTTGACACAGGTGTATGATATAGCATAGTTATCGTAATCAGTTCCCAATATCCAAAGTTCGGAATCTGAGAACACTGTAAGAAAATAATGTTAAGATATAAATCAATAATTCAAACAATCTTCCTTATGGAATATTGTGAGTATTCAACTACTAGTATAATACCGTTCGCAATGCCGTATTGGTTTTTAATGTCATATTTTTTTCTTTATTGTCTATATTTATTTTTATTTATCTTCACGCATAATCCCTGACGGGGTAGCCAGAGAGAACAGATCGCCAAGTGTCACGATCCTTACATACCTCTTTCGCTTCTTTCAGATTCATTATCTTCATACATGCACGTCTAGGTATCCGAGTACTCTTGACCCTCCCCTCTTCGAGCAATTTGCTCACATGGTCTTCGAAAGTTAGTCTCGGTCTACCTAGACACCTTTTAATATTAACTTTCGCGCTATATATTTTCTTCACCATTCGGTCTTCACTCATTCGCTCAACGAGCCCAAACCATCGAAGCACGCCCTTATCAATTTGTGTGATATGGTCATCTTTCAAACCTGCCATATTGCGAATCTCTTCGTTTCGCTTTCGGTCGGCCATGGTAACGCCGCACATTTTACGAAGAAATCGCGTCTCCACTGCATTCAACTTACTTTTATGCTTCTTCTGGCATACCCAGGTTTCGCTGCCATATAACAAAGTCGGTACCAACACTGCGTTATGTATTGCAAGGCGTGCACTCTTCACTACCCTTTGCCTTTTGACTAACCCAGTCAGGGCACCATTGGCTTTGTTCCCGGCAGCGACACGCCTGTCCACATCTAAATCACATCTTCCATCCCGGCTAAAAGCACTCCCCAAGTATACAATTTCATTTACCTGTTCTAGACATTCCTGATTTACCCATATTTCACACTTCGTTCTCTCTTCGTCCCTTTCAAATACCAGAACCTTAGTTTATATATAGCTTTAGTCTATATTTAGTCTATATTTATCTTTATATATATATATATATATATATATATATATATATATATATATATATATATATATATATATATATATATATATATATATAGCTTTGCCATAGAAGTACAGAAAGCATTTTGGGGAATAGGGTTACAAACAAGTACACAGTCCACCTGATGATAAGTGGATGCTGTGGCCCATAGACATCTACATTAATCCTCAATTAAGAATCAAAATGCAGATTCGTTGTTACCCCTAAGGACTAAGATGGATTTCTTCATTTCCAGTGAAAAGAGTCTCCGGGTCTCTAAACTCCACACGAAACAAGAAATGCTGCTATTTATGTTTATATTCAGCGGTGGATTTGTGATGGATATAGTAAGTAACTTGAAGTGTAATAGACAATTTTATTAATAAAAAGCTTATAAATTATTTAAATAAAATAATTTTAAAATTTGTCGACATTACAATTATCAGTGTTACGTGCATTTTTCCTGAACAAAATCTGATATAGGTGAAACAATGCGGTGATCTTATCTTATAGGAACTTATGATAAAAAACGATATGTCTTTATCATTTACTGGGCTATTTATTTTTTGACGTGGTATCGTTAATCGATAATATGTCAAAGAAAATGTTTACTTATAATATATGTTTTCCTATATTGATTATATAACTTATACATCATCGATATAGGATACGGAAATTAGTGTCACTATACGTTCATAAATGGCGTTAAAGGTTTTTTTTGTTATTATTATAGATTAAGGGTGAGAACTGAGCACATAGTCCACTCAGTGATAAGTGAATGCTATGACCCATAAACTAACATCGCTATAGAAACAAAATGCAGAGGCGTTGTCAACTTTGAGTAAAAAGGGTTTTTCTTTGGCATTATTCTGCTACGTATTACGCTGGTATTATGTGAGACCAGATCCTAACTCGGTTGAGCTGAAATGCTGTAACGCCGCAGCGTAGTTTTTTTATTTTTTATAGGAGAGGGGGCTAACGAGCATGCGGTAAATCGCTGATGGTAATCGATTCCACAAGTAAGTCGTGCGAGGAAGAAAACATCTTCTAAATCGCACAGTGGTGGACCGCCAATCATCCAGATGGTGTGGATGGTATCGGGAGTTCTGCCGCGATGTGCGTTCGTGAAATTTGGCGGCTGGGATTAATCCGAACAATTCCTCAGAGCACTCCCCATAGTAGATGCGAAAGAAAATGCAAAGGGATGCAACATCTCTTCGCAGTACCAATGAATCGAGCCGATCGGAAAGGACTCGGTCGTCGACGATTCGAGCCGCTCTGCGCTGGATGCGGTCAAGTGGAAGGAGCTGGCACTGGGGAGCCCCTGCCCAGAGATGGGAACAGTATTCCATGTGAGGCCGAACCTGCGCCTTGTAAAGTTGCAGGCGGTGTGCCGGCATGAAATATTGTCCCGCTCTGCTGAGCACGCCAAGCTTTTTAGAGGCCAATTTGGCCTTCTCTTCCAAGTGACCACGAAACTGCACGTCACTCGATATGTCGACTCCGAGTATTTCGATACTGGCTGAAGCAAGAAGTACTCGGCGACGTTTTCCCGAGAAATATTGGCACGTCCGGTGTATAGAGCATCACCAGTGCTGTCATCCGCATAGCAATGAATGTTACCAGTTAGCAACATATCATTGATATCTAATCAGCTGGTGATCCTCAAGGTACCGGATGAGCTGACAGTTAATAATGGATTCCTTTATTTTGGAGAACAAGGAGGTGATCGCGATAGGCCTATAGTTGGACGGGTCTGAGCGGTCGCCTTTTTTAGGAATCGGGTGGACAAAAGCTGTCTTCCATGAATTCGGGACTACGCCTTGGGACCGGAAAAGACGCCTTAGGACCGGTGCCAACTCCGGAGCACACGTCCTCAGCACAATTGGAGGGATTCCGTCAAGCCCACTTGACATCTGGATTTCCAGGGAGAGAAGTGTTTTGCGAACCGAGCGCTGTGAAAACAGCACATCCGGCATGGAGCACTCACACCGCGAGTTTTCTCCCGTCATCAAGAGTCGAGTTGGACGCAAAAAGGGAGCCTAAAAGGTCGGCTTTGTCTTTTGCGGCTTGGGCCAGTGAGTCGTCCTCCCTGTGCAGAGATGGTAGTGATGGCTTACAGAAATTCCCTTGCATTGGCGAGAGACCAGAATGCACGGGTTCCCGAAGGAAGGCGAACTAGTTTCTGGCCAATTCTGGTTATATGCTCTGACTCTGCCTTGGCACTAACTCTTTTGAAAGACCTGGAGGCGAAGTTATACTTCTTTTTAAGTGTGCTGGTGTTTACGTCCCGAGTTGCCAAAGCCGCAGCCCAGGCTTGATAATACTCCTGCTTACTGCGTAATGCAGTCTTACAGGAGCGACCAAACCATGGCTGAGATCTGCCTCCGATGGGCATCACAGATGATGGAATAAATAGTTCCATTCCCTGTAGCACCACATCAGTGACAGACTCAGCAACAACGCTGGGATCATCCGGCGAGAAGCAAACCCGCCCCCATGGGTAGGATGCAAAGAAAGACCGCATTCTGTCCCAATCCGCTGACCTGTAATGCCAAACACGGCGGCAACCTGCAGAACGCAACCGCGAAGGGAGCGTGAGTGGCACCATACTGCGGATCAGACAATGGTCCGAAGAGCCGAGAGGGGCATCGACAGAAACCTGATATCCGTCCGGATGAGAGGTCAGCAGAAAGTCCAACAGGGAAGGAGTATGATCCTCCACATCTGGAATCCGCGTAGGCGAAGTAACCAGTTGTGTCAGACCATATGCCAAAGCAAAGTCATAAACAGATCTCCCCGCATGATCGGTTAAACGTGAACCGAGCCATTTGGCGCGGTGGGCGTTAAAATCGCCAAGGATCACGATCTCTGCGGATGGGACCTGTTGTAGCAAGGAATATGTAGCCATTTGGACGTGTTCGATGAGTCGGTCTGTTTCGGCATTACCGCTATGGGACCTATAGAGGCACCCATAGACGCGCGGATGGTCGTCGCTGTCTATGCGTAGCCAAAGGATAGACAGGTCCGAACATTCAAGACTGCCGAGGCGTCGAGAACAGATGTCCTCTCTGACATACACGCAAACTCCAGCCCGAGGCACAAAGGAGTGCTCCAATTTGTACCCCGGGTAGGAGAGATACGAAATATCAGCCGGAGAGGAAACCTGTGTCTCGGTCAGAAAGATCAAGGCCGGCTTCGCCGTCTCGAGATGTTAGTGGGCGGCGTTTAGGTTAGAGTGAAGTCCCCTGATGTTGCAGAAATTCACGGATAGCGTGGCAGAGGTCACCTTGGTATTGTTGCTCAGTTTCCCTCGAGCAGTTATGTTTTTGAGCGGGATTTTGCAGCCCCCCCCGGAATACGCGGGACAGCCCGAGCACCCACGCTCAGGATTGGAATAACATGGTTGTGGATGCTCAGCGAGGGATTCTCCAGGGGTACTGGTGCCCTCCTGGGGTAGTCTTTCGTGTAATTCCGCTACCATGTTGATGGGGGGGGGGGGTGGGAGAATTGGGCCACCTGCACTCACCAGACGAAACGCAGAAGCAGAGCTTCTACTTCACGCCGGTATTCTGTGAGGTCGTGGTACCAACCCGGCTCGAGCCGGCCCATACGTGCAACAGCAAAAACTGCTGCGTGGCTTCACCACCGTAGTTCTAACGCGTAAAAAAGTCGCAGTAAAGTTACAAATATAAATCAAAGCCGGCCAAGTGCGAGTCGAAGGGTTCCGTACCATCGTAATACACGTTTCTAGTAAGGGAGCTAGTAATTTTTAATTTATTTAAATTTTTATTACTTGTTGTTATAGTAGCAACAGAAATACACATAGTGTGAATAAATTTTATCTTTCTACCTATTACGGATCGTGAGATACAGCCCACTGACAGACAGACGCACGGACGGACGGACGGACAGACGGACAGTGGAGGCTTAGTAATAGGGTCCCGTTGTTTACCCTTTTGGTACGGAACCCAAAAATGAGTTCAAATTGTAACTTTTTCTAATTTTTGTTGGAAGCGACACATACTCATTTATTATTAACAAGGTACAGAGCAGTATCAATAATGATAAGATAAAAATGTAGTCGATTACAACCAAAATTTAAATATTTGCGGCACGACTCATGATAATAAATAGCCGACAATACATATTTTATGTAGGGTATGTTGAAATTTATCACAAAATTAAAATTAATAATTTAAAATTAAAAATTTTGTACAGCCGACTTCAATATAAGTTAATAAGAATAACTCAAAAACTATTGGTCTGACCTTGATCAATATTCATATGGGACTACATGAGAAGCACCAGCTTTCAAATAAAAAAAGAATCATCGTAATCGGTTCACCCAGTAAAAAGTTATGAGGTAACACACATAAAAAAAAAACAAAAAAAAATACAGGTGAATTGAGTACCGTCTCCTTTTTGGTAGTCGGCAGAAAATGATTCACAGTCTGTAATTATTCTGACTCGCTAAGCCGGATTCAGTACGCACTGCTATTTTGCGACAGAAATAGGAAGGGGTTGAGTTCACCTACCTAGTCATTTGTTATGCTATTTTTACTCCATTAAAACCTTATAATTATAAGAACATCGTAAATATCATCATTACATTATGATCATTCAAGGAGTGCCATAAGGCGCGTTTCGGAGTCACCTGCATCCATAGACTTTCCGTATTTCGTATTGCCGACCCACTGCAACTTCTGTTGTATACCAGAACAAAATTACAAAATAAAACTTTATTGATATAGAGTTGCACGTTGTTATATCGTGGTATTAAGCGGAGATTAAAGAAAAAAAAAATAACGATAGCCCAAGTTGGTAGTAGGTTTCAAATAATTATTTCACCTAGTCGTATTTTAACAGTTAGTACTTTAAAATACGGTGCAATTTTCTGTGCTCGGATATAATAATCAGTGATTTTTGTGAGGATTACTAGAATCTATTAATCAGCAATTATTAATTACAAATGAGTGATAAAGGCCTTAGAAACAATCATATTTTTTTTCACGTATTCACGCATTCTTATTACAAGATATGTCAAGGATATTTTAAAATTTGTAATCAATTTTCGTAGCACTTGCTGCCATCCGATTGAGCTGAAATTTGGTGTAGTATTATGATGTAATCATCAATGGAAATGTAATAATATGTTACCATGGGGCTGATCTGATGATGGACGATGGATGTTTGCCCTCAGCATTGCCTATAAAAGCTTGTTTTTTTTTTGAATAAATTTCATATTTAATGTTTTTAAAAGAATGTTTATTTATAACTATCGTTTTTTTAAAAATATTTAGTTCAGATATTAAATATTAATATTAAACTGATGAAAGATTATTTAAGTGTTTGGGATAACTAGATTACCCTTAAAGTCACGGTATTAGAAATTATAAATTACATGATTTGTATTGTATAGTAACATACAGTGTTTGAAAGGACAATATTCGCAATATATAATAAAATTTCCTGCAAAGTGCCCATCAAGTGACATTCTAAAATCAATCTATTTTACTTAAGTGGCTTTCGAATTGTTGTCCTCATCTTAACATATATACTTACCATTTGGTGCTACTTCTAAAGTAACTTTCAGTCTTGCAGAGCCGTCCGTACTGGTGACAATAGCTTTGCCGCTAATGGTTTCCAATGTTTGATTGACCACTTGACTGTTAACAACATTAACCTCTCCTCCTACTAATGTGTACTGAGCTCTGTTACAGGTACCCGCTTGATTGATGGTGTAGTACTTTGCGATTTCGTGCCATACTCCTTGAAACTAGAACCAGTAATTTTAAATTGTATTTCTAAGTGAAATAAAATGTTTTGGTTAAACTTAGCGTATAGGACAATAGGAAAGTAAAACAAAGGAACCGAGTACAAGTGTCCTACAGCTGGGCACAGGTTTCCTCTCAGCTTTGACGGGGTTTTGGGACAATGAATAGTCCACCCCGCTGTCCTAATGCGTGTTCCCTTTACAGTCAAACACGTGTGTAAATCAATACTGAGCTGCGCTTACTCCTGAGCTGCTACGGTGGTGTAAATAGAATAGGATATTAAAGTACCTACAACTCTCTTTTCGTCCCCTACAAGTCCAAAAACTATCCACTGCTGACAAAGCCGTTTAACGGGTTGGCGGTTGGCGATCCCAGATCAAATAGGGTTGCCAGCTCCCGTTTTATACTTTACAGTATTTGATAATATTTAATAAAGGAAACAGGATAAAAATAGAGGATATCATATTGTTTTCAATTGATCCTGTTATGGTATTAGTAGCGACATTTATTAATAAAAAACTTGTCAACCCGCAATATAACACAATTTGTTTCTCTAACATAACGTGTCATCTCATCGTGATTTTTAAACTCTGACCGCAACTCTGCTCCTGTAGCTCCTGTAGTCTCCTTAAAGGTTTCATCGTTGGGGATAAAATCAAATTTTGGTCGTGAAATAGAGGACGCCGTTAACAATAAAGGACGTCTGTCAACCCTGATCAGATAGGCCGCAATTTTATTGGCGCTTATCGTCTATAAATATTTATTTCTTATGGCGCAACATATGTCGTGACTGCTGTGAATCAATGTGTCTGAGTGTCAATAAACAATAAGGAAAATGAAAGGGTTTTGTAATACTCCTCACACATTAAGTATTAATTTTAATTTTTTTATTTAAATAACACTAGAAATGCTATTAACACTGAACTAAATGAATAATTCTTTATTTTACTTGTAAATTGACGAGCCTAGGCCAATAAATGAAAAACATACTTGATATCTTTCACTTTATGTTACTAACCGCTTCTATATTCGACAAAAAATCTGCACCCAAATTACTCTTAAAATTTAGAGCGTAACTACATTTATTCAGCGCCATTTTCGTTTCACTGGATTTTGATTACACTTATACAGTTCCGCTTCTATCAGCCGCGTACAGTATCGTAAGATTGTAAAAGGCCGTCATACGAGTAGCGTGCTATCTCCGCTGAAACGCTTCTCTGTCGCGTACAGCACTGGATGACTGAGGATCGATTATGTACTCATAGTAAACTACTTTCTTTTAGTATTTTGTACTCAATATGGACAGATTCATGTGCGATATTATTGTCGTTACGCTTCTTTTAAAAATAAATAGAAAAGATAAAACGTAATAAATGCAAACACGAAAGTGGATCGATCCCCTTTGGAGAAAAAGAAATTTGGTTAGAGAATACGCGATATTGATACTCGAATTAAAAGAAAATAATTTTAAATTCAAAGAACACTTTTGGATAAATATATTCAAAAATTTTACGAAATTGTAGAGCTATTGCGACCAGGGTTACAGAAATAAAATACGAAATAATTTCTGTTTGCACATTTTCTCGACGATTGTATACGAAATTATTGCGTATCAAATGTATCAATCAATGCAAGTCGCAACTGATTATTGAGCACAGTCCGAATACGGCGCTGAATGCAGCCGAACAGTGCTGAACGTGGTAGAACAACGCTAAATGCGGTGGAACAGCGCTAAACTCTGGCGTTAGCTTGCTATGCTAGAAAGACACTTGTCCTCATTTTATGCCTGTTTGCCGCGAAAGCTGAATAGACGCGGAAAGCTGAACTAATGCGTACGCATCTCCATACAAAACTGGTGTTTTCTATGGATAAAAGCCGAATTGAGCTGAATAAGTGTGGTTAGTCCCTTATATTTTTGGCATTATTAGAGCTTTTAGTCTAACAGTCATATTTAAGAACTGTTGCACGCACAACTTAAAACTTCCGGAAATTGGTTCCGTTAACAACTTCTAAAGAATTAATCGCTTAATTTAATTATTTTGTTAAGTTATTTTAATTTTCGATGTTAAAAGAGGGGGGGGGGGGGTTTAAAGGCTATTATTATTGCCGTTATATACTATAAAAAGACCACTATTGAGCATAGACCTTTCCCATAAATTACTTCATATTTGCCATCCGTAAATTATGTACTAAAATATTTTTTTTTTAAATTTCGTTTAAAATCATTAGTTTAAATTTCATTTTCCTAAATTGATTTTTTTTTGCTTAGTATCCATATTATGTATCTATCGAGGAGCTTAAAGGATAAGCGCATGCTTTAAATATATTTAATACCTACGCGTGCGATACGTGTTTCAATAAAATTGTAAATTGCAGTTTAAAGTGCATCGATAAATCGTGGGTTCCATTAAAAATGAGTATTTAACAAATGCTCGACGGCCTAAGAAAATATCGTGTGTAACAAGCATTGCCCATTAGAGTAGTTGTTTACATCACTCCATTAATACTAAAGAGTCTATGGTCAAGTCGTATAAAGCGTCTCCCACACAGAAGCGGCTTGCGGTGGCGGCCACGGTGGCGGTCAGTTGTATTCGCTCGCAATGTAAGAGAGTCCGCAAACTCGTGCGGCCATCGCGCGGCCTGCCAGCGGCTGGCCGCGGCCGCATGCTCCGCCCCCTCCGCCACCGTGTGTGTGATAGCGAGTACGCAGCCTATCGATGGCCGCAGCGCGGTCAGTTGCAAATTTTTGCAACAGGCCGCGTGTACCGCGTGAAAAATGGTGCTACAATCAGAGATTTTAATAGAAACAAGGCGAAATTATCCAGTACTTTATGATAATTTGCATCGTGATCATAAAATCATTGGGATTCAAAACAAAATATATGATAATATTGCTGAAAATAATAAGACTTCGTCGCGGTTAACCATGTTTACTGACGTCTGATCGTAGCACAGACACCACAGCGAATGGCGCTTCGGGCCGCCACTGCGGCCGCGGTGATGTGTTGTTGCCGCTGCAACAACACATCACCGCGGCCGCAGTGGAGTTGTCGCTGCCAGAGCCGCGGCTCGCGGTTAGCCGCCACCGCAAGCCGCTTGTGTATGGGAGACGCTTTATGCCTGTGAGAATAATCGATTACGTTTCGACTCGGTTGTGTTAAAGTGACGTCAAATATTGTCTGTGGATTAAAAGTTAGCTCTTAACAGTCGGGATCATTCAGAGACGAGCCGCCGGAGTGACAAAAAGGTTTGTGATGATATATTATGTTATTTAGTTATACTTTAGCTTTGATTTAGTTTACTAGAAATAAACATTGTTATTGTATTGATTAATTCCTTTTATTTAGAATTCTATGATTCGCTTTTGAGATACCCTTACACGTGAGAAAATATATCTGGGATATTTAAAAAGTAACAAAATATTTCGGTGATTTGAAGTGTGCCTACACAAATTAAGATAACGTAACCAAGTTAGCGAATTTATAGAGCAGTTACTCTCCCTGCTCCAAAACCCTTTTAGAAATAAGAGTCTGCACTGAACAGTAGGACGTGTATGAGCTTACTTTACTGTATTACTTTTAAATTATTTTAGATACAAACCACCCGCAGAAGGTTAACAGATAGCGCTGTGACGTCACGGGCAAATAAAAGCGTTGCTAGCAGTGTTGCGAGATAAACCGAGCTTTTCTACAATCGCTAATAGAAAACTATATAAAGAAATGAAATCAATATTAAGTCACGTGAGATATGTCATTTACATTTATTTTTATAGTTTTCTATTAATTTTAGGAATTGTAAAGCAGACAAGCGTCGAACGTAGTGGGAGGGGTGACCATCGGCTGCCTTCTGCGTGCGGCTTATTTAAAAAAGTGTTCCTATTTTCTCAACTTACCCTCGCTGCATTAAAATTGGTAACGACTGTCATATTTGGATTACACTGTCCAGGGAGAATGACAGGCTCGTTTCTAGCTATTTCTGGTAGAACATAACAGGCGTTTTCTGAATGCTCAATCCTTCTCAAATCAGACGAATTTATACCAAGCAGTGTGTTCATAGTTGTGTTGACGAGTGCTTCCATCATCTCTGTGGGATACGTCGTCTCTCTTCCCAACTGCCAGAGATATACTGTAAGGAAAATATTGTATTTAGCATAGCAATTTCTATATTAAGGGAGCTTAAAATAAATGCATTGTTCATTCAACCAATAAAAAAAACATTCGTGAGTGTCGTAGAACACTCGGTTGGTTCCTCGGTACCTTTGTTACTATATTATTATTCATAAACGTATTATATTATTGATTACCAACTTTAAATAAACGAATTACTAGCGTCTATTAAAATTAATCGTCAGAAAAAGTGCGACAGAGATGGATATTATTGCATCTCGCTTCTTTATAGCCGCCAAGGCCGTCTACACTACGTCAGAAGGGATCGTGACGGAAAAATCTTACACTTTTTCACGCCTAGCGCCCATCCGTCAAATTCCGTCCGATAAGGAATTTAGTTCCATAAAGCCAACTTCAAATAAAGAAGACTATCTGTAACAGAGTCGTTGCCGCTAGAATAGAATGGATTAAAACTAGTGGTAGTGGCGGTGAAGGATATCTACTACCCTATATCTTCCTGTCGGTTACGTAAGAGACGACAGAGGGAAAACTGAATCAAGAGATGGGCAGCAGCATCTTCCTGATAACAACTCTAAATTATACAAAACTGAGAATTATAGTGAAAACATTTGAACATAAAAACACATTGTTTTATAGGATAAAGGTGACAAATGAGCACACAGTCCACTTGATAGTAAGTTGTTGCTGCGGCCCATAGACATCTACATCTATCCTCGATTACAAATCAAAATGCAGATGCGTTGTCACCCGTGAGGACTAAGATAGAATGCCTCATTTCCAGTAAAAAGGGTCTCCGGTTCTCTAGACTCACTATACGAAACACATTTTTTACGCTGGTATTCTGTGAGAGCGTGGTCCTTTGCCGGTTGAGCCGACCCATTCGTGCTACAACTATACTACTAATATAGCTGCAGCATGGCTCTACCACGTCAAAATTTCACTTAAAATACTTTAAGTTTGATTCTCATAAGCATAAACAATGTATGATTTTAAAAGCAGAAACTATAATCAGATGTTTGATTAACTGATTTCATATTGGGCATATGATAAACTTACCTGCTCTTTGTACATTTCCTCGATTTTCACAGGAGTAAGCGACGGCGAAATTATCGTAATCCGTTAACAGGACCCAGAAATCGATGGCTGCAAAAATGAGCAAACGTTAAAATACTATTTTTATACATGTTTGTGTTTTTATTAGAAGAAATTCTTTTTTTTTCTTTATCAACCTGAATTACGTGAAATCTTCAATTGTAAGAAGAAATTGCGTAATCGCCATGACATCTGTATCTTACCATCGACGCTGCTCCCCATTAATCTGGTCGTTTCCATCTGGTATATGGGAGATGGTATGCCGCCGTTTATAGTCGTCATTTAAGATACCCACGGGAAGAAATAGGTGTTCCCTTACAACGGCACCATGGTTATTATTATTATTAGATGTTCATCATCATCATCATCACTATTTTCAGATACACTGGACTTATGATCGGTCCTAATGGCGACGATAACTGATATTGGTTTTTTTATAATTTATAAGGAAAAAGGAGAAAACACGTGTTTTTTTAATATTTGGTACTAAAAATATTTTTTTTATGGGATAGGGTGACAAACGAGCACACAGTCCACCCGATGGTAAGTAGCTGCTGCGGCCCATAGACATCTACATCTATCCTCGTTTCCAGTAAAAAGGGTCTCCGGTTCTCTACACTCACCATACGAAACACAGCAGCATTAAACTGCTATTTTACGCTGGTATTCTGTGAGAGCGTGGTCCTACCCCGGTCGAGCCGACCCATTCGAGCTACAACTATACCACTAATATAGCTGCAGCATGGTTCTACCAAGTATAACTTTATTTAACTTAATTTAAATTTACCACATTTTTTATTTTTCCACATTCCTACAATGTCATCCAATTTTGAGCTATGTTAAAAATTTCAAGTCTCGTAACTCATCGAGAAGTACTCGAAATTTTAGTTTCAAGATTCCACTCATAACAACAGACAAACAAGAAATTGACTTAATAAATACGTGATAATAAGATGCAATTTGACTTTTTTAAAATGACATGCTTTAGAATTTTAAACTCGTTTAAACAGGGGTGTCACTTCCACTATGGAAGGTATGGAGCACTCCATACCTCAAGTTTTTCAAGGTATGGAATTCCATAGCTGAAATTAGGAAATAAATCGCATATTACTACAAACCCCATATAAATAAATCGCAAGCCCTTAAACCTCAATACCCCACATCTTATAGTTCAATAAATAAGTTGAGTATATACACTGCAAACTCTTAAACCTTAATACCCCACGAGTAATACGAACAAATTTGAAAATCGCGCCACCATTTTCCATACCTCAGATTTTTACAAAGTGACACGCCTGCGTTTAAATGTAATAATTCCATTTCTTCAGTGTCGTAGTAACTTCAGTGAATTCCAGAAAGATGTCATGGTTTTCGGCAAATAGTGGTTTGTTAATCTCATTTGAGCTAGAGGCTTGAGAGCCAGAGAGCTCTTACTCACAGAACGGCAACGGGAAGCAGTTTCAAAGGTCCGGGACGTCTGGTACTGTGAACGCCAGTCCTAACAACTAGCGTAGAGTTTAAGACAGATCAAGACAAAACAAATCAGGCTGCAGGAAATAAGGAAAGCAATAATAAGCATTTAAAAAAAACTCACGTCTTTGCACTTCAGACACATTAAGCCTGAATTTGGCGGTTCCTTGTTCATGCGTCGCTGTACCAGTGATTAACTGATAGAAGTTATTATTAACGGACTCGTTTGTTACGTTGATAACGTTATTTCCACGATTCAACTCTAAGGTTGCACAGTCGCCATTTTGTTGTTCGTTATCTGTCCTGGCAATGCCATACCAAGTGCCAAGGAACTGGAAAAAAATATAATTGATACAAGAGGATAACATAGGGATAACATTATAACCAACAGCCAGGGATTAAAACATAAGATTCTCTTTTTCATAGTATTGAAAATGATCGACTGACAAACGAATTAACAGATCATCGGACGATAAGTTTTTTTATGGGTTTTTAAAGAGATACTGGTAATGCTATTAACAATATTGTCAGGAGTGACTCACAACAGTAATCGAATCACAGATTCGAACCTATGATATTCCGTATTTATGCTGGGGCCACAGTAACGGAAAACATCTATGCACATAAACGCAACAATTATTGCTTTAATTTTAACGCGACAAAGTGAGTGGCTACACTTGAACGGTCAACGTCATTTCAATTTCAATGCCGTTGAACGGCGTTAAAGTTGGCGTTAATGTTCTTTGAATTTCAACCAAGATGGATGGACGTTGACGCTGCTACTCTATATATGATGTGTGTAAATTTTTATTATGTGAATATATTTTATCATTGCCTAAGCATGGCTCTGTTTTCAAAATCTCAAGAAACGTAATAACTCTTTTATTATTCCATTCCATCATAGCCATAAGTGCGACCCCGTTGCGCTCACCGTGCACAATGAGACAAACGTAGTGTGGCCGATTCAACGCGTTATTTCGTGCGTTAATCTCTTTGATGTACCACCACTCGAATTACCGCCAAACGGCAAATGGCATTGTTTATGCTGTTGTCAAATTATCGCGTTAAGTCATGGCCACACATACATTCAACGTCCATCAACGCGATAATTAATATAGACAAGAAACAGAAAGGCGCCGAGAATTGAACCTAACCTTGAAGATACCGTTGATAACAACTTATTGCGTTCTATTACTTAAATATAAAAAATAAATTTAAGACCACCACTTTTTACACCGTAGTGTTGAAGTTTCCTGATTAATGTTTCATGGTGAACACAATCGAAAGCTTTTGATAGGTCAAAAAATATACTCAAAGCACTCCTTGAATTTCCAATGAATTCAAGATATGTGTAATCAGATCAACACCGGCATCAGTTGTCGAGCGACTTCTTTGAAACTGAATTGATTTTTATGAAGTAAATTATTTGCATTATTCAAATTATCATTTGATTTTTTTTATTTGACATTTTCTACTTTATTCGATTGAAATACTTTTAAGAGTAGTTTATGAGAGTAGAAATTGTAATAACGTCATAGTTTTCAGTCTTTAATTTACCGTCTTATTTGTATATCTTAAAATATATATACATCCCAAATCCCAATGATGGGCGCAGGCCTCCTTTTGTTACTGAAAGGATTTAACGGCAAGGAAATTTTTAATTTCTCACGTGCAACACATATCTAATGCAGGGCTTTCCCCACGATATTTGCCTTCAACTTCGAGTATATAAATCATCACTTAAAATTAATAATGTATGATAATTAAGTTACTACTAGTTCGTAAAATTGCATTTAACAATTTCATTGGTGTCCTCGGCGAATAAACTCGGGTTGCTCACGTACTGTGAAATTTAACCTCAGCTACCACAGCTCCCAAATTATAATATAATGTTGTGAATTCATAATGGTGGTGTCAGATATCCAATTATACTGGCTCTGTTGTACTTTCAAATGAATCACAGCAGAAGCACTGCTGTTTGGCGGCAGAAATAAGAAGGAAATAATTCACAGGATATGAATGTTTTGCATTACATAGCTTAAATAGTCAATGCGGTAGAGTTATAAGTAATTATTTAAATATTTTTCTTAATTATAAGTAATGTTTTTTCAAAACAAACTAAAAATTATAAAATAATTTATCTTAGTTTCATGCAGATTTACAACTCCATGCAGATAAACAAAAAGAAAAACATGATTACTTCAACTAAGTCGCTAACAACTCTATTGCACTGCATATTATCTGTTGTGCGAGTTTTCTCAAGGACAGCTACTTTATCGAGCACTTCATACTACACACCTTGCTATTATCTATCGCACACGCCCCATTTTTTAAATCTGTTTTGGATTATAAATCTACACGACTAGGAGATTTTTTTATATAAAATTGAGACGAACTTACAGTCTCCATGAACACCTGCAACCAACTTTAAACAAAGCCGTCTACAGATGCGTTTTCACCTCTGACTACTAAGATGGAATGATTTACAGCCTGTAATTGCACTGGCTACACTATTTCGATTGGAGAACTGGGCAGCAGGAATAGGTAATAAAGTGTTACTTATCCGGACGCTATCCTAGGCAGAAAATAGTCCTACCTACTATCAAATTAATACTTTTTATTTATTTTAAAAATACTAGTAATGCTTTTAAACATTACTAATACTCTTGTTAAATATAATAATAATTGCTTGTGTTAGAAGTGGTTCACGACAGTAGTCGAATGGCGGATTCGAACCCTCGACCTTTTGAGCTCGCGGTCCGCAACCTGCCGTTAGGCTAATGACGCTTCGTACGTACTGACGTTCGTAATAAAGTAGTACTTATCCGGACGGTATCCTAGGTAGAAAAAAGTCCTACCACTAAATTAATACATTTTAGTCCGCCTAAAAACGTGGTATATTAAAGAAGTATTTAAACAATTGTTTTCTGCTTTATGGTCTGTCATCCAGTTCTCTGCTGAGTTTAAAAAAATCTGCTTCATCGGCAAGTTAGTTTAAAATCGATAGCAAAATTTGCAGCAAAGAGATAATAAATTAACAGAAGCACAAACAAGAAAGCGAGATAATGTTGCATTGTTATACAGTTTTGCGACGCATTTAAAGTTTCGAGTCTCTGATTCTTAATTAAAATCGTTTGCAAAATTTGTTCGTAACAGACAAACGTGTTAAAAATAATGTTCTCTTTTCCTGAAAATACTGCAATACACTTTCTAATGATATATTGTTACATATACGAAATTAAATAAGAGAGCCGTAGCTCAGGAGCTAATACTCGCTGTAAATTTGGTAGTACACGAATTCTAAGAGTTAGTACCACGTTGGTATCAACTACATTATTAATTTAAATTTTACGTGATGATTTGAAAACATCGTGAAAAATTCTGCATGTTTAAGGAATTATAAATGTTTTGAATACATCATGTATGTCAGCCAAAGCGTAGCCACAGCGCGGTGCAGCGGACTCTTCTTTGCTCCAAAATTACTTTAAAAGAAATGAGAGAAGACATTTCTGGGAAGCTAGTTTTTGCATGTGTATAGAAGTTGTTACTTCACAAAATCTTCAAAAAATGTTTGTGTTTCATTTTTAATGTGATTGTATGCTGTTTTTGTAGATATGTTACGCGATATCTTCTTCAACTGTGAAGCATTTTTAGGATTTTTATTAAAAAGGCTATACTTTAATTTTTTTAGATAAAGAAAAATTAGATAGATTAGAAAAAATTTGCCATATTTGAAGTGGAAAAATTCCACTCCAAAAGGTGGCAAAATGGGATTTTTTTTAATGCAACTATTTAAACGACATACTAGTTGTTACAATATTCATTGAAAAGGGTCAAAATTTTTTTTGATAAAAAGTAACAGTCGTCCTAAAGAATTAAACGAATTAAATAATTTCACATTTAAAAGTTACGGTTTTCTTATTTAAATACATTAAGACATAGTACCGATTTCAGAATGTGAATTTACCTATTTTTTTTAAATTCTATATCTACGTTTATTACTTTTTATTAAAAAAATTAATTACTCTTTAATAATATTGAAAAAGTCATATAAAGTTATCCGCTTTTATTAAACTACAGCGTTATCTTAGTCAATGTTAGTACGATATTTTATTATGAACGGTTTTTTATTGAGACCCCTCCCACGGTTAATTGTTTTACGATAAAAAGTCATGTGTCAGTTTTATGTATGTGTGTCTCGTCTACTGTATTATCGATTTTTCTTATCGATGAACTGACAAGTTACGAAAATATTTACTATACGAGTATATTCAAACAACCACGTCCCCGCTGTTACTTGGAAAAACACTATGAATTCTGTAAAACTATTAAACTAACGGGGAAAGACAACAAAGAAAAGAGGCATTCCATCTTAGTCCTCAAGACAACTCGTCTACATTTTGATTCGCAAACGAGAATAAGTGTAGATGTCTATGGGCCATAGCAACCACTTATCATCAGGTGGACAAGGCTAGCTCATTATTCATTCCAGTAATGCAAACAAATCATATTTATAGGCACATACATAATTATAAACCGAGTAGTAGCGGTGTCAGAATATCCACTACCACATATCATACCTTGGGTCGTAAGAGGCGACAGATGTAAACTGAAACAGGAGATGGGCAGCAATATATTTCTAATAACAACTCAAAATTAAAAAAAAATGCGGTTGCCGACTCGCCAGCCATCGCAATGGACCTTTATGTTATAGACTGTAATAGAATGTTAAAGATAATTAATGAAGTAATATCCGCGTAATTTGACGATCTTAGCTAACTCATTTTTAACGTCTTTAATGTAATGGATTTCCGTAAAGTAACGCCTGATTCTATTAATTATCTTGAAATGGAAATGACGGATGGATATATAATCACAGCAATGAATTTTGCTTATAGTGACAAACACATTTTGCTTATACCGACTTTGTTATATGGCAGCGAAACCTGGGTATGCCAGAAGAAGCATAAAAGCAAGTTGAATGCAGGGGAGATGCGATCTCTTCGTGAAATGTGCGACGTTACCATGGCCGACCGACAGTGAAACGAAGAGATTCGCAATATGGCAGGTTTGAAAGATGACCTTATCACAAAAATTGATAAGGGCGTGCTTCGATGGTTTGGGCACGTTGAGCGAATGAGTGAAGACCGAATGGTGAAGAAAATATATAGCGCGAAAGTTAATATTAAAAGGTGTCGAGATAGACCGAGACTAACTTTCGAAGACCATGTGAGCAAATTGCTCGAAGAGGGTAGGGTCAAGAGTACTCGGATACCTAGACGTGCATGTATGAAGAAGATAATGAATCTGAAAGAAGCGAAAGAGGTATGTAAGGATCGTGACACTTGGCGATCTGTTCTCTCTGGCTACCCCGTCAGGGATTGTGTGTGAAGATAAGTAAGTGACAAACACGACGCCCTATCAAGTGGTATTTTTCTGCCATGATGATATTTCATTTCTACATGATAAATGACTCACTACATATTATGTTATCGATCGTTGATAAATTTATTAAGGTGATTATTGATGAAACTACAATTTTATTATATAACAAGGAATAAGTTATTGTATTACCCATTAGAAAGACCTTTTTTTATAGGATAAGGGTGACAAACGAGCACACAGTCCACCAGATGGTAAGTGGTTGCTGTGGTCCATAGACATCTACATCTATCTACGATTACGAATCAAAATGCAGATCACCCGTGAGGACTAACATGGAATGCTTCGTTTCCAGTAAAAATGGTCTCCGGTTCTCTACACTCACCATACGAAACACAGCAGCGTTAAGCTGCTATTTTACGCTGATATTCTGTGAGAGCGTGGTCCTTCCCCGGTCGAGCCGAACCATTTGTGCTACAACTATAATGTATCTGCAGCATGGCTCTACCACGTATAAGACCTAACAGGATTTTTTTTATAAAAGAGTAAGTGACTATAGCCGCCCTTAAAGAGCTGCGATACTATGAGAATTGCAGGCACGTTGCCAGCCTTTTAAGAAGGAGTAGGTATTTTCTTGATGGTCTCTAAGTCATATCGATTCGGATAATCGATTGCTCGTGGTAGCTGATTACACAAAGGAGACGTGCGAGGAAGAAACAATTTGGTAAATTACGCAGTGTTGGACCGCCAAGCATCCCGATGGTATGGATGGTATCGTGAATTTCGTCGCGATTTGCAATGGTGAAATTCGGCAACTGGAATTAGTCCGAACAATTACTTTAAGCACTCCCCGATAGATGCGATAGAGTATGCGAAGGCATACATTTTCTGCAACGTTAGTGAGTCAAACCCAACAGAGAAAACTCTGTCGTTGATGATACGGGCAACTTCGCTGGATGCAATCAAGTGGAGAGAGTCGGCAGTGGGGTGCCCTAGTCTAGAGATGAGAACAGAATTCCATCTGCGACCGTAATTGTGCCTTGTATAGTTGCAAGCGGTGTGCCAGCATGAAATACTGTTACACTTTACGGAGTACGTGAAAATTTTTAGAAGCTAACTTGGCATTCCCTTCCAAGTGATCACGGAACTGCACGTCACTCAGTATCTATCCCCGGGGATGGGAACTGTTATTATTTTTTAAAGAAAACATTAATGATTTTTTCATTATTCGTCATTCATTATTCGGATAATTTTAAGTAAAATCACACACTTTTTAATATACTCTACAATTATATACACAATAATTAATCTACATTAATTACTACCTACATTAATTAGACACTATTACTTATCTCACGTTTACCGCTATAGATGCTCGTTAGTAACCTTATACTATATAGACCATTAATCAAATATATTATGTATATAAAAGTATTAAAAAAATGCTTACTCGAGTCAAGTTGAAATTCTCCTGCAACTCAATGTTGGGATTACATTGTCCGAATTGAATTAACTGTGCACTACTTAAACCTAAAAGTCCTGAAAGACTAAATATTGCTATAAATATGCCTTTTGTCATTTTGAGCACATAGTTTCCGACCACACAACACTTCAAGCAGGTAACCTGGGAAAATGGCGATATTTTTTATAAATTAAAACATTTATATGAAATCTTATCAATAAATTTATCTTCAGCGTGAATTATGCGTTAATCGCGACGAATTCATGCTGTAAAAGAATGCTAAATCATTATCGATCATTAAAGATAGGATAATAATAATATCGAAGGCCTGAGTGGGGAGCGTTTGGTGGGTCGTGCAGTGGGTAGCGGTGCTTGTGACACACATTTCGGTGTTCATCGCTTGGAACATGATTTCCTTCACCGCAGAGAACATTTATTTAATGTAAAATATGATAATTTTTTTAGAAGTAATATTTTTTTTTATAGGATCGGGTGACAAACGAGCACACAGTCCACCTGATGGTAAGTGGTTACTGTGACCCATTGACATCTACATCTATCCTCAATAAAGACTCAAGATGCAGATGCGTTGTCACCCGTGAGGACTAAGATGGAATGCCTCTTTGCCAGTAAAAAGGGTCTCCGGTTCTCTACACTCACCATACGAAACACAGCAGCGTTAAGGTGCTATTTTACGCTGGTTTTCTGTGAGAGCGTGGTCCTTCCCCGGTCGAGCCGACCCATTCGTGCTACCACCATAATATAGCTGCAGCATGGCTCTACCACGTCGAAAAAAAGTAATATTTGTTGTGATCGTACTACCCATACTACATGTTACTTAATCAGTATGACTGCCTCCAAAATTCAGTTATTGAGTTTTTCTGTCGAGAAATAAAGTAGCGATCCAGAATCAAAAAATTGCCGATGTTTCGCCCCCGTGCCTCGGAAAGCACTAAATCTGACGATTTTGCGTCTGATATCGCCAGTGGTGTCAGATTGCCGTCTCATCGGAGAATGAGAGTGAGGTAATCGAGAGTACACTTATGCTTGTGCATCGCACTCGGGCACTATAATCATCTCTTGCGCAGGTGGCTAATTTTCATTGAGACTGCCGCCGTATTATAATATGTTATTTTACAGCTGCAAGAGACTGTCGTCTCATTCTCAGTAATGTTGGTACACTAAAACTGTATGTCAAAAATTGTCATCTAAAGTGTATTGACTTTAAAATATTTAAAATAGGTTTCCCTATTTTGTGGCAGTCGCTTAAAATTGATACATTTCTGTCTAATTACGTAAATATGTTACTTTGTAACGTATTTTAAGATATGTTTTAATACATGTTGAACACGATCGATATTGGATTGTTGAAAATAATATGCAAATATTAAAAAAATCTTCAAAGGGTAGGCGTTTTTAGAATTCTACCAAATTTTAATCATGTAGTATGAATATTCGTAAGGTTAAAAAAACTTTTTTAAAAGAGAAGGGGCATACGAGCATACGGCTCACCTGAAGCTAAGTGACTACCGCCGCCCATGAACAACTGGAACACCAGGGGAATTGCAGATGCGTTGCCAGCCTTTTAGAAAAGAGTAGGCTCCTTTATTGAAGGTCTCAAAGTCTTATCGGCCCGGAGAAATTGCTAGTGGTATACAATTCCACAAGGAAGTTGTGCGAGGAAAAAAACTTCTTCTAAACCGCACAGTAGGTTGTCTGGAAGAGATCGCTCTTAGCGATAAGACCGCCCATTGTACCACATTTCTTTTTCTCATTTTTTGTTAATATTTATGTTATTTTTTGGCGTACAATAAAGTATTATCTATCTATATATCTATCTAGTAGTGGACCTTCAATCATTTAGATAGTACGGATGGTATTTCGAGTTTTGTCGCGATGTGCGATAGTGAAATTGAGCGGCTGGAATTAGTCCGAACAATTCGTCTGAGCGCTCCCTGTGGTAGATACGATAGAATACGCAAAGAGATGCAAAATCTCTTCACAGTGCCAGTGAATCAAGCCAATCGGAAAGAACTCGGTCCTCAACGATTCGAGTTACTCTGCGCTAGATGCCCTGGCCAAGTGGAAGGAGCTGGCAATGGGGATCCCCGGCCCAGAGATGGGAACAGTATTTTATGGCGGCCAAACCTGTGTCTTGTAAACTTGCAGGCGGAGAGCCCGCATGAAATAGTCTCGCTCTGCTGAGCACGCCAAGCTTTTTAGAGGTTAATTTGGCGTTCTCTTCCAAGTGACCACGAAATTAGATTTGCTGACGCTGAGGATTGCGATACTGGCTGAGGCAACAAGGGGAATGATATTGCAAACCGATAACATTCATTGCTATGTGGATGACAGCACTAGTGATCATTTATACACCGGTCGTGTCAATATTTCTCGGGAAAACGTCGCCGGGTTCCGGAACAAACTTGTGTCTGAAGTCGAGTCTTTCCTGAACAAAGTCTCGGATTGAGGGCGACTAAATCTAGTCCAGTTTAATCCTCAGAAGACACAATTTTGCACATTTACCACTAAAAAGAACCCCTTTGTCGTATCTCCTCAGTTTCAAGGCACTTCCCTTGTTGACTCAGCCAGTATCGGAATCCTCAGCGTCGATATATCGAGTAACGTGCAGTTTCTTGGTCACTTCGAAGAAAAACCCAAATTGGCCTCTAAAAGGCTTGGCGTGCTCAGCAGAGCGGGACAGTATTTCATGCCGGCACACCGCCTGCAACTTTACGAGGCGCAAATTCGGCCTCACATGGAATACTGTTTGCATCTCTGGGCTGGGGCTCCCCAATGCCAGCTCCTTCCACTTGACCGCATCCAGTGCAGAGTGGCTCGAATCGTCAACGAACGATTCCTCTCCGATCAGCTCGATTCACTGACGTTGCGAAGAGATGTTGCATCCCTTGGCATTTACCACGCGGAGTGCTCTGAGGAATTGTTCGTATTAATCCTTGCCACAAAAACTTCACGAACGCACATCGCAGCAACACTCCCGATACCATCGACACCATCTGGAAGCTTGGCGGTCCACCACTGTACGTTTCACTAGGAGTTTTCTTCCGCGTACGACCTCTCTGTAGAATAGCTTACCACTGGCGATTTTTCCGGACCGATACGACTTAGGGACCTTCAAGAAAAGAGCTTACTCCTTTTTAAAAGGCCGGCAATGCACCTGCAATTCCCTTGGTGTTACAGCTGTTCATAGGTAGCGCTAGTCACTTACCATAAGATGAGTCGTATGCTCGTTTGCCCCCTCCTCTCTTTCTTCTATAAAAACACTTTTGAAGGACTTGGAGACGAAGTTATACTTCTGTTAAGTATATTGGTTTTTATATCCCGAGCCACCGAAGCGTCAGCCTAGGCCTGAAAACACTCCTGCTTACTGCGTAATAAAGTCTTACAAGAGCCTCCAAACAAACGAGGCTGAGATCTGCCTCTGATGGCTACCACAGATGATGGAATAAATAGTTCAATTCCCTGTAGCACCACATCAGTGACAGAGTCAGCAACAGAGACAGAGACAGAAGCAGACAAGGGTGGGTATCAAGGGTGGGATGGAAAGAAATACTGCATTCCGTCCCGATCCGCCGACCTGTAATGCCAAACACGGCGGCAGCCCGCAAAGCGCCACCGCGAAGGGAGCGTGAGTGGTACCATACTCCGTATCAGACAATGATCCCAAGGTCCGAGAGGGGCGTCGATGGAAAATAGATATCCATCCGGATGAGAGGTCAGCAGAAGGTCCAACAGGGTAGGTGTATGATCCTCGACATCTGGAATCCGCGCAGGCAAAGTAACCAGTTGTGTCAGACCATACGCCAACGCAAAGTCATAAACAGATCTCTCCGCAAGATCGGTTAGACGTGAAACGAGCCATTCGGCGTAGTACCCGTTAAAATCACTAAGTAACATGATATCTGTGGATGGGATCTGTTGTAGCAAGAAATCTGTAGTCATTTGGACGTGGTCAATGAGTCGGTCTGTGTCGGGTTTACCGCTATGGGACCTATAGACCCACCCGTGGAAGGGCTGGTCGTCGCTGTCTACGCGCAGCCAAAGGATGGACAGGTCCGTACTTTGAAGATTATCGAGGCGTCAAGAACAGATATTCTCTCTGACGTATACGCAATGGTCTATTTGTACACCGGGTAGGACAGGTTTTCAAAGTTAAAGTTAAAGTTAATATATTATTTTGCTGAATTTTGTAATAACTTTTACGCAATAAAAATAATGACATTATATAAAAAGAAAACAATGTTGTTCGTATTTAATTGTGATTTAAGCGTTTTATCAGTTATATTTTTTTAAATATTTTTATAGATAAGAAGTGTCTAGAATCAGATCAACCGACAAAAGATAATTTTTTGATATTATCGTGATACATATATATTAATTATTTGAACCTTACCCAGAATATCGGTAATTATAAGTAAGCCCACAATGCTCTCACGCGCTCATTTTGATTCTTATTTGAGGATACAAGGTCTATTACACCCACTTACCGGACTGTGTGCTCGTTTTCCTTTTCTTTAAAAACGTTAACCCCACACTAGGATTTTCTCCTGTATCGTGGAGGCAGTTTACAAATATAGATTGCACGAGGACAAACATCCAGACCCGAAACAATTATTTGTAGGTCATACGAATACTTGTTCCGTGCGGGATTCGAACCCGCTGCCCCCAGCGCAACAACTCATTGCTAAGCCACAGCGCCACGGAGCCGTCGTTTTTACTATAAAAAGAAACTGAAATCACGATCGCCAACACAAATTGCCACATTTTTTTTCCAAATACGGAGAATTGTCTGTTGGAGTATGAGGGTGTGTGGATAGTGTGACTTATAGAAAACCTACGTCTATCTTCTATTAAGAATTAAAATGCGTTGCGACCCCTGAGGACTATGACGGAATGCCTCGTTATCATAAGTTCTCGGTTCTCTGCACTCAGCATACAAAACAAAGCAGCAATATGCTCATAAGGTAGAACCGAAAAACGACTGGCTGTATGAAAACGTCGGAAATGCTTAGCTGGAGAGTCTATCTGAATTATTTCTAAGAAAAAATGCAATCTGGTAATCATTTTTCCTGCAGATCATATCATTAGAATAAGAA